ATATTTCCTTCTTTGGCTACATGGAATTCAATCATTTTGTTGAAATGTAGCAATTTAATCTTTTGGTATACTTTAAATATTATTTAAATACCATTTCTTATAGCATCATTCGACATAATTGAATTTTAAAATTTCCTAAGTGATTGTTTTATCAAAATATTATCATAATATATTATCCATCCGATAATTCACCTTTTATTTTTGTTCTCAATTATAAATGTAAGAATCATTATGATAATCTGAAAATCGATACTTCCTAGATCTCCTCTCCTATGAGTTAAATGATAAAAGAAGATGCCTAGGAAGTAAGTATTGATTTTATGATAAATGAAGAAATATTATACCTTTGATAAACAACCATCCATACGTATACGTTGCTTAAAAATTTGACCATCACAATGTGCTATAGGCCTTGAATCATCTAATCTTCCTAAGCTTACTTCTTGATTCACTTGTTGTAATGCTTCTTTCGGTGAAGAAATCACTTTCTTCCCTAATATCAATGAATTATAAATAAATTATATTATAAAAGTTTAATTTTAAATTAAAATAAATTGAAAGAAAAAATTTTTTATTTTAATTGAAATTTCATTCAAACATTCTAAATTGCTAATTTTTTTACCTTTTTTCTCGGCTTTTAATTGTTTTCGCATATATCGTTGAAGCCATTTTAAACGTTTTTGATCAAAAGTTAGCAACGGTGGTTCGATGTACGGCTCAGAATGTAATGAAATGAATGCTTTCTTTGCTATTTCATCAAAAATAGATCCATTTTCTACTTTGTATTGAATATACCTATAAATAAATTAGCTTTCATTTATAGAACTTCACTTCTCCAATTCTAATTATTTCTCATTTTCATTCTTGACAGCTATTTCTTACTAAGTTTTGATCGGCGTAAAAAATGCTTTGCAATGCAAATATCCTATTGTCATAATGATAATGTAACACATAGAGAAGGTAAATTATAAAAATTTCATTATAAAATTTATCAACAATTACTCATTCATTTGCGTATAAGTTGTTAGAAATCATTCTTTGTCAAAGATTTTGAAGTTGTAGTAGAGAAAAATTTAATAAATTATAAAAGTTAATTGTTTTGTTTCAATTTCATTAATGAAATAAAATTAGTCCGAAATGGTGGAGTACAAAGAAGAATATTTGGAGAGAGAAGAAAAGGTATAAACGCGCAGAAGAAAGTGAAAACGCTTGCTGTATTGAAAGATATTTTATAAACGATAAAGTTGCAAGTTAAAATTGAAAAAATGAGAAGATAAAGGATAATATTGCTTTCATTTTTCGCCTACTGTTCAGATTAATTCATTAAAAAGTTCTTATAAAATGGGAATATAAGGTGGACTTATAAGGTAAATTAGAAATGGACAACTGAAGTTCAAAAGTTAAAGAGTTAAAGTTCATTTTGTTAAAAATATAAATGGTAAAATTTTCAAGAACAAAAGAAAATCCCGAGTTAAATTTTCAACCAAATCGATTATTTTCCATTTAATTCACAGATTTTCACCACTTTCTTACATTCCCAGAAATTACAGTGATGGAAAAAAATAAGAACAGATTGAACCATTCCAATTATTAAATATTCCAAATTTCTGACAACTTATTTCATCTATTCTTAAATGCATAAGTATTGCCTTCTCTTAATGCTTTATATGCAAATTATTTGTAATAGACAATCAGTTTTTAATAAGAAATGATTTGTTGCAATCATTCATAAATAATAAATATTCGCACAAAGAAAGAAACGAATAAATTATTTGATTTTCCATTTTTGCTTATTAATTCGTTTCATGATCGATTGTTATTTTTTGGGAATCTTTTAATTACTTAATTATAAATTAAAATAAACTGGTAAATAATTGATTAAACGTATGATGAAATGAGTGATTATATATTGTTAGCATCATAGAGAAGCAAAAAAAATCTTTATTCTATGCAAATTTTAATTGAAGCAAAAAATTTAAAAAGCACAAGGAATATTACAAATAGATAGGAAATTTAAGTAATACTTATAAACTCTATTAGCTTAAGCGATTATATACACATTTATATGCATTATAATAAATGAAATCTGATAGAATGTATGGTTAGATAATTTAAAGAATTAGAAAAATGAAATGAAATACTCTTGCAGCTTTGAAAATTCAAAATTTTAATTTGAAATGTTTTATGGTCCAATTTGTTTTAAACTACTTATATAAGGATATTAATACGATATACCTGTATCTTACCGCTGAAAAATGCTGTTATCGAAAATACAGTAATCCTAATAGTAAAACAATTGTACATCGATGGGGTCAGTAGTTATTTGATTTCAACCTAACAGTACATTATTTCATGAAATATATAAAATTAAATTATTTAATGAAATATTAAAAAAAAGATATATTTACAGTTAAAATTTTTCATGATATGAACGAATTAATTTATTCGATATTAATTCTTATAATTAATTTCGAGTAAAGAAGTATTACTATTCAAAAGGATAATGTATTTTCCATTTCTTAACTTTCTCTTTGCTTTTGTAACAATGTTAGTTTTAAGAAAAAAGGTGAAAAAATTACCGAATTTTGATAAATTTAAATTAGAAGTTAACAATGATCAATGTAAAAAATGATACATTCATTGTGAAAAAGTAATGCAAATATTCCTTTAGACTTTAAATAGAAATTATAAACTAAATTTTTTAATCTTAAGATATGTATAAATATGTGTGTGTGTGTGTGTCACCTGAAGAGTGGAAAAAATCTTTTAAAAAGTGATAGTTCAATGAATTGCTAATTTGAGCTATCATAAATCATAGGAGTACAATTTTCCTTTTTTTTGTTGTTGTATAACGTAAATTCGACAATTTGTAGGCAAAGTCCAAACTTCAAATTTCTTTTAGAATTCACTTCTTATCAATCGTGTCTAGAGAGGATTATTATTTGCATGCCAAAAAACTGATAACTTGATCGAGTCCATCACAATTTCAACACTTTGATTGTGCATGCAAATGTCATGTACTGCATTTGAAATGCAAGGACAAAAAGGCGCGCACAATTGCATCCAATCATTTTCACATTTATGCATGTGAAAATGATTGGATGCAATTCGAAATATGGAAAGTATTTTTTAAATTAACAAATAATTTTAATTTGAAAAATTTCGAAAAAGTCATCAAATTGCATATTGAAAAAGAGACAACAAGCTATTTCATCTTTCCCTCTCTCTCTCTCTTTCTTTGGTTTACCTTTTTTAATTAAATTGGCGACGAATTTCTCTCAATTTTTACAATTTTTTTTAATTAATTAATTAATGTTGAAGAAATGCTAACTTTATAGTTATTAGGACTTAAAGCGCTATATGAAATGTTAGGTTAATTCTTAAATCATACGAAAGTCTCAATCTTTAAGATAGTTATTACCAATTAAGACAATGGATCAGTTTGCGTTTGGGGTCGTCGATATGTTTATAGATTTTTCTAGAACTTAAGAATATTGCTAACCCAGCAGAAGAAGTGGCTGGTGATCGTTCGGCGACATCAATATTGACAATTGGTGTACCATCAGTAGGTACCAGTAAATAATCACAAGGTATCAGTAGCATTGTAAATTTTAATAGGAGTCCAATAATAGTACGGCTGGGCCTATCTGTAAAGGCCCTACCAATAATACCAATTCGCATATCAATTTAGCAACCCGCACTTTTTTCACCTGCTACACCACTACGTTTGTTGTTGACAGTGTTGGAATTGATTTTGAGTGGCGACAAATTGATGTGCGTTAAAACGAATGAAATGGAAAATATTTGAGCAACAAAGTTGCTGCTTCTTTCCGTGTACGACGTCAGATTGAAAAACTGCAAAAAACAAAAACATAAAAAGTTTATCCCAAATTCAATAATTCAATACTTTGCCGTTTCTTCTAAATATCTGATTAAATGATTTGAAGCTAACAGTGAAAATGAGTATAAAATCAAAAAAATGAGATCGAAATTGCAAGTAAAATGTTAATTAATGGAAATTTAGTAATTTCAAACAATCCTAAAATGTGTGTTTTATATCTTAGAACTATTTTTGAAACTTTGCAAGCATATAGCTACGATATTTTGGCGAATTTACAAAACAATGAAATTACCGGCAGATTCGTTACTTTTCGATGCATTTATTGACTGTAATAAGTGTGATAAGGGAAAATCGATCAACAAAACATTTTGGTAAATTTTGTAGGAAAAAGAAAATTTAGAGAGATATTTAAATATTTCAATTGTAGTCATGATGAGTTCAATTTAGAAATTTAAAATGATTCAGTCCTGAAAGATGTCGATTAGAACGATCTCCATCGAGGATACGAAAGGAAAGGAACCGAAAGGTAGTGGATCGGGCGTGATTACAACATCACTAATACACTCCTCCATCTTCTTAGTCATCCAAATTCCACTGATTGTTTGCTGTTGTTTGGCAAAAACAATATAGAATTTAAAATTGTTGAAATGTTTTCGTCTAGTTGTTTTGTTTAAGTTCAAATGATTAAATTTCATTTTTAGAATAAATTTGGAACAAAAATTTCTCAACTTTTATATTAAATGAGAGAGTATTTTTATGTTAATGAAATTTAATGCAATATTTATTTTTCAAAAATATGTCTACAATACATGACGTACCAATGAAAATGAAGGAACACTGATGAGAGGCCTGTAAAGATGTGTTAAAGACAATATACAATAATAATGATAGAGATTTGTAGTTAATATGAGCACTACTAAAAGGTATAATAAAATGAAGAACTTACCGAAGTAGGAGTACGGTCAACAAAGGTATATGGGAAAGGATAAAAAGGTAGAGAGAAGGAGAAAGAGGTGATAAAAGCGAAAGAGAGGGAGAGAGAGATAATGAAGTTTAGGCTGGTCAATAACCGGATAAAAGAGGAGGAGAGGAGGAGGGGGCTGGGGAGGAAGAAAAGGAAAAGGGGGGAGAACACGTGATGAAATTATAGCTGGCCTAATAGCCGATCATTAAACATATGTTATCATTTCAAAATGATTTTACAAAGGACGTCTCTCCCTGTCAATAATAATAATGATAATGATGATAATAATCACTGCCCTATGAATATGATGTGTGTTTGTATTCATACATATACATACAGAGTCACACACATATATATGTACATATATGTATATATAGAAATAGAGGACATCAGTGTCTCGGATGGCGCCATTCTCGAGTTGATTTCATGATGATGAGAGCTTAAAAAGTAGGCTTGTGAAGTGAAGTCATAGCAGCTGGCATGGAAGTGCTCGATAATACCGAATCAGCATGATATGACATCATCATAGCTATACCACGGAACACTTTATGTATATGGCGCTTTTGGCAAGGCACCAAATAGCGGCATATCATCGATGCTATTAATCCGGTTATACTCTTGTCCACTCATTTCCATATAATAACAATGCAATAATGAATTAATTGGTCCGGAAAATGTCATCAACAACTGTAAAAAAAAAGAGTGAAAAGTAAGGAACCTGTGTGTGTGTCATTTGTCATTAGTTACCTGTCATCTACCATCTTTCTTCACATTTTAAAGTGCAATTTTTATCTTATCTCTTTATACCCTCTTCTTTCATACTGTATTTTTAGAACTAAAATTTAAAAAATTAATTTAATGAATTAAGAAAAAATACTCAAAGGCAATTTCTTGCAATTCTCTAAAATGTTAATACTATTTAAATTCTTTTAAATTCATAAATCATTTGTAATATATTTATTATATGCAACGATCCGTTCAGTTATGCTTTTTTCATCGTTGGAATGAAACAATTCCACAAAATATTCCGAACTGAATTATTCCGTAAATTAATTATTTTGCCAACGAATTCTACTCAATTTATGAAAGAAAAAGGTCATTTCGTTTATATTTCTGATAAAGCGATTAAGAAGACTAATCTAATTTAATTGGTATTAATTAATTTCAATTTATTGTCGTCTGTAATTTGATGAAATTAAGATAATCTAAGATAAAGCATTCAATGGGTAATACCAGACAGACGCCTTATTTCGCAGACATCTTAGAAGAGCTTTATTGGCTCCAAATTGTTTTTTAAAAGAAATTTGTTTTACTTCTCAGGAAAAGAAAAAAAGTTTGCTTAGAAAAGACAAATAATTTGCTTCGAAACTTTTTGTCAATTAATAAGATATTAAATTAAATTCGAAGCATTTCAAATTAATTACCAATTACTATTGAAGTTGTTCTCTTTGACATTTGAAAAATGTAAACGTTAACATTAAGATAATTGAGCTGAAGTTTTTTTGATTTAATTTTAGTCAGATTATTTTTATCATACATGCTTTTTAAATTATTTAAATTAAGCTCCAATTTTGAAGTTTTAAATTTTTAAACTTTTAAATGTTTATTTTATCGTAGCTTAAACTTATTTATCGTAACTTATACAAAAAAAAGAAAAATTTTATCGTAACTTAAACAGTTGTTAACTATATATCAGGACACATTTGACTGTCAAGTATTTTTGAGAATTATCGTAAACCGAGAACGACTGCACAAGAACATTTCTTCTCTTCATCTATTTTTAATATGATTGTGCATCATTTGTAAAATACCTCCAATAAGGCACAGTAAGATAAGGTCATTATTTGCCTTAAATTTATCATCATTATTTTCGAATTTGCATATTTGACAATAAATTGAAAAACTACGAATCACATTTAAGGCACAAAGCAATCTATCTTTAAAGACAAGCATAGAATGAGTATAAATGAATTTTAAGCTGTATGAATGTGATCACCGAAATGCAGGAATTAAAAATTCATTCCAGCAAAGATCAATGACCGAAGCGTGAAAGTTTCAAGGATTCAGTTTTGACTATCAAAGATTTTTTCTGTTTACAATAATTAAATTCAATAAAAAACATAAAACAATTCTACTACAATGATCATATATATAATAGCTGAAATTTGCATATTTCAAATTAAATTGAATTAGTAACATATAGAATTGTAAGCTTTAAATTCTGATAATAATGCTAATTTCATGATGAGAAATGGAATGAAAATTAATTCTGCTTATAAAAAATAATAGCTAAGATAATTTAAAATTCCGGAAGTGGACTGAAAGCATAACAGGATATGTCATTTTTCGAATGTTGGCAAAAAGTATCAGTGTATGCAATATAGGCGAAATCATTTTCCGAACAGATTACATTGAATTTTTTAAATAGTTTTTCCTCAGCTACCCGTTGAATATCACGTTTGGAAATGGTTATATCATCCATTATGTTCTAAAATTAAAAAATTATTATTAATTAAACAAATTATGAAAAAATAAAAAAGAGCGAAGTTCTTTCATTGGTTTTTAGATTTGAAAAAGCCTTCAAACTTTTGGCTAATCGTAAATATTAAATTTTGTCATAAAAGTAAACTGAAATATAAAGTATATATTGCATAAAGATAAATTTCCTTTTGAGTGACAGTGAGATTTAATTTCAAATTTCCTTTCTATTATATTATTTCTGAATTTTGAAATTATTACAAATAGATTAATAGGAAAAAACTTTTACAAACAGATAAAGAAATAATAATTATTAGTTATTACTCTTTACTGATCATTTTAATTAATTTTAGAACATCATTTTCATAATTTTTTTAGATTTGAAATATTTGTGTTTGTGTACCTCTTCCATAATTGATTTCAAAACAGGATTATTGCATTTCGAGTCATATTCCACATCAGTAACAAGTGAAGTTGAAAATATTTTGGCACCGTGCACTCTCATTTGTGAAGGTGTGCAAGGTATGACGCACGTGCAACAGCAATCATTAATCGCTGGTGTTGTATATGTCGCCCTCGGGGCCTGCTTTAAAATGAAAATGAAATATATTATTTTCTTGAAGCTGAAAATATTTTGGTATTATATTATTTTCTTTTACGATATCATTTTCTTATGATTTAAAAAATTTTTTCAAGTTATAGATCCAAAAATTAAGTAATTTTTGTTTGATTATTTTATATATGAACTTACCGGAACAGGATAAATAGGTATTGGATGTGGGGTTTGGTATGGTGGGGGTGTTGGAGGTGGTAGAGGTGGTAATGTTGGTGGACAAATTATTGGTCGTGGACAAATTGGCGGTGGAGGACAAGGCGGTAGAGGTGGACAGATTATTGGAGGGGGAGGTGGTGGACATATTACTGGTGGGGGACAAGGGGGAGGTAGAGGTGGACAGATTACTGGAGGAGGAGGTTGTGGACATATTGGTGGTGGAGGGCAAGGTGGAGGTGGAGGTGAATAGGTTAGAGGAGGAGGAGGAGGTGGTGGACATGGAAATGGTATGCATGGCCTGCATTTAATTGGTACGCAAGGTACCATTATGGGACAGCAACCAAATGCATCACAAGCATTCCATACTTGCATGAATATGATTGTGAATATCAGTAGTTCTATGATCTGAAACTGAAATTAAACTAATTGGTGAAGCTGAAAAGAAATCTGCTTATTTTTAATATTTTCCCAATATTTTTCACGTTAAATTTACCAATTTGATGTTCCTTTTTCTTTTCGAATCTATGAATGAAGCAATAATGGCAGTTAGAATTTATTGTAAAAAAAGGTCATGCTCTGTTGTCATCACTGTCACTGTTGGTTACAAGTGATTTTATCTGACCCAACATTAAATATTTCAGAATGATTTCGACAACTTTAAAAATGGTTTGAAATATCATAGATTAAGTTTCTCATTTGCATTCCAAGTTACCGTAAACAGGATCAATATTTTTTTAATTAAGAAACAAAATATTTTTTAAAAAAATTAGCAGTTTTTTACCATCTATTTCATAGGCAAACGCAATAATTATTTTCAAAATGAATCATTGGTCTGAAAATAGATGGAAACCGTGATACCTATGGTACCAAACATAAATTGCTTTCTATGATTGTAATGATAAAAGAAAATCTGCTATACAAATATAAATTGAAGTAATCTTGAATCATACCGTCATCATTATTCCTTGATGCAATAGTAGTAGTAATAGTAATAACAATAACAATAATAATATAAGGTAATTTGAGAGGCAACTGTACTTCACTGTTTTGAAACGTTATAGTTGATGCATTTTATAAAAAAAAAGAATTGCAGCGATTATTATCACAACGAGCAATTATAAATGTTAGAACAATTTGTGGTACATAGTAATGAAGTTGATTTGAATGGGTTATTATAAATTAAGAAGATATGAATAGGATGGAAGAGAAGGCCTTTAAAAAGTGATGCAATTCTTCCTTTTTCTCATTTTTTTCCTGTTTCTTTTAACACTTTCAAATTGATGAATCAGAGAGAATTGCCCTACGGCAATTCTGGATTTAAGAGTTCCTTCATACTTAAGAATTCCTTCAATCCCTTTATAATCAATAATTTATTGATGGTATCAATGATAATAGCCATGCTATTGATAATGATGATGATGATAATACTGAAACAATAACAATAACTACGATAGTCAGGAAAACATTTAATAAATAAGTACAGTTTTTTTTCGTGTCTACATCATCCTCGTCATTGTCCGGTTAAAACCGGACTTCATTTTTCGTTTTAATTTTAGAAGAAAAAATCAAAAGCAAATTGAATTGCATTACAAGTTTTCAAGATACATTTAATGATGACAATTTTATAATCTTTCTTTACATATCATTTAGAGAAATCGTCCATGACTAGCATTAGAATTCAAGTAAAAGTAAATGCAATATGAATAAAACAAGGTTTTTTTCTCTCATTTCAATATCATTGTCAATTCTACTTTAAACTATCAGTCAGAGACAATTTAAAATAATCATCCTAAAATTTCGAATCTTAAGTATTAACAAAAAATAGAGTGGAATATTGTTTAAAAGATAATTTATAAATATCTTCAAAGTTCCAAAATAATGAGCCCATAAATTTACACATCAACGAGTTTTCCAAATCTCATCGCTTGTTTTGCATGAAAATTTCGATTTCCAAATGCAATATTTTATTTTCTTCTTCTTATTTACCAAATTCAAATTACTTCTTGCACTTTAAATATGTGAAGTTTAATTCATTTCACTCATGCAATTATATTTTTATCATTGATAAAAAAGTTAGACTTCCCTCGATATTTAAAATATCTAGAGCACAATTTGATATGACAATTTAATGTGACGAAAATCTTTAATGCCAAAAATTTTAGTGACTTTTAATGAAAATTATTAAAATACTGTAGATCACTGTCCGAGACAATAGCATCCAAAAATCATGCGATAAAATTAAAATGACACTGATCGCGTCCTAACACTACAGTTGGATTACGGTATTTTTTTCGGTTTGGATTTTCCCAGAGTATTTGTGGGGGCGCGGGAGGTGTTGCACGCATGGGATTTATGAAATTTAAAGTTCACTGCGCGTAATTTCAGAGTTTTATGGGTAAAAGGAATTAGCTGGAAGGACAGTGTCAAGATGTTTTTAAGTGCAATTCAGAAGTGTTGCAGTACATTTGCATGCACTTCTGCACTCACTGCGGGGACTACATCATATCCGGGTTTACATTTGCAGTCAGATTCAGTATCACTTGATCAGTGTCATTCGACTAATGCTCGTCTAAAAACAGAGGTTTGGCGTATTTATTTTGCAAACATGTTTAAGAATTACGAAAATTAAAATCTGATTAATATGATGAGTTGCTAATATGATAGCACAGCTTTTCGGATTTCTTTTTCCACTGGTTAATAACGCAACTATACGACTCCTACAGTTAGCCGTTGGTGTGATAACAGAGACGTTTGAATTCCTCCAGTTATGCTGATCTCCTTTATTTACTGCAAGTCATTTCGTGATTTTACGAAATTCTCTGAGTTAAAATGCAATATAATCCTCAAGTTTATAAAATTCGTTTTTAATTCAAACTGTTATGTATATTTGACATTTCTTAATGGTTGTTATGGAGCGCGGATTATATTTTTCCTATATTTTCAGCCGTCGTTCAAAAAAAGTCCTCATCTAGAAATTAAAAAATTAGAGTCACCGGTTACGAAAGATTTTCTTGAATATTCTGAAGATGGGAAGTCTCAAATTCTGGAAAAAAATTCGAAAGACCCTGAAAAGCAGAGTTTGGCACAACTCGGTTCACGAAAAGAATTTTATTTACGGGAAAATGAAGTCAAAATGGCTAAAAGTACAGGCGTCGGTATTGGTGACAAAAGATTGGAAGGTAGGGTTGTTGAATCTTAGAAGACAAGCAGACAAGTGCAAATATACAGAAGTATTTGTTGATCAAAATTTTGCCGTTATTAGCCTATGGCGTTGCTTTCACATACAATTTGATTTCATAGCATCAAGAACTGAAAGAAATCCGCAGCTTTTCTGAGTTCGAACAAACAAGACAACTAGGTATATGGAGTTAATAGAGAGTTCTTTTCTAGTGAGCAAATAGGATTGATTAAAAAACGTAGGATTTTTTTCATCACAAGACTATTAAAGTGTTGGATGATGAAGTGTTGAGGTGATCAGTAAATTTTGTAAACAAAAATAAACTTGTTTTTGTTTTACTATGCTAATGGTTTTGAAAAAAGAAAGAATCTCTTTGGCTAACTCTATGACTTATTTTCATTTGATAAAATTTATTTTGTTAGCATATCTGATGAGTGCACTATTTTCGAAATCTCCGGATGGAAGTACGCTTAATGGTATAAACATCTCCGTGTTTGATTTACATTCAAGGCGTTTTGCTGAGCGATTGCTAAGTGCCGGTGTTTCTAGTCTTTCTATTATTGAAACATCACAACATGAAGCTCAAAAAGCGAAGGTTCGTTTGCTTTCTTGCTTTTGAAGGCTTCTGTTTTTATTAAGATTCGAATGAAATAAGCTGACTCGTTGTGCACTCTTTGCGTTGATATCTTCTATTTTATTTCCGTAGCGATAAACTTATTGAAAAGACTAGGTCTGAACACTGTAATTTGTAAAAAGTGTTGTCTACATCACTCAATCATATCCGCTGATTGTGATGAGTTCATTTAAAATAACTATTTCTACCAATACAAAGTAAAAATTGTAGAAAACATATGTGGAAGGACAAAATACCAGCTTCACATTTGAATGAAAGTTAAGAAAAGAGAGTTTCAGGTGTGTAGAACATTATACATTTGGACTGTTGGGCATTGAAATCTAATCCTTGGGAAATAGATTACAATATAAAAAACTCTCGTTCAAGCAAATGCTTTTTCATCTTATTTTTAGAGTTCACAGTTGGAAGTTTGGAGTTTACAATTTCCATGTAGGTCTGAACGAATTGTATCATTAATGTATATTGACTTATGAGCAGTTGATAAGTTGAACTATTGAACATAACGACGCTTCCTTTTTTTCAACACTAAGATTTTGATTTTATCCGATTTCGATTTCTGAAATTCTCTTTGGAAATTATTTACTTGCTTAATTGATAAGAATTTACTTGTGGTTTGCACTGATTTATACAATTTTAGTAGCGGCCCCACTGCTTTGTTCATTCTTATCAAAAAAGAATTTCCACTGCCAAATGCACTTTACAGCATATTTAAAATGTGTAATGGTTTCCAATACTTCCATCGGCGAGAGGAACTTAAAATTTAAAGATGAATGTTAAAATTTGTGAAACTCAAGGAAATAAAAATAATCTATAATAATAATAGCTATAAAGCATTTAGTAGTTAGATGATGTCTTTTATTGCTAGAAGTTTGTTGTTATTTCTGAGTCTTCTCATCTATATCTGTTTTCTCTTAAACCACATGCTGTCAGTTTCGTTCTTTTTTCAATAGCAATGATTTCCTTACTTGTTCTGGAATGCTTCATCGGATCTGATGATTGTCATGTAAATATCGCGATGTTTTTCGTGCAACAAAGGAAGACGAAGAGAAAGGCTGTTTTGGCTTTGTTTTATTGGATTTTTAAAAATTCAGAAAGATAGAATTCTCTAAAGAAGTAAGAAAACCAATCAAGCTACTAGTAGTTTTTTCGTTTGCTTTGACTGGGAATTTTAGGGGGTGCTTTTGATAAGTAAGTTAACTTTTTGTGCATTGTAAAAAATACTTCATTTCTGCGATGAAAGTGCTTCTAGAATTATGAAGATTTTTCAGTTTATGATATTTATATTACTTTGTTTGATTTCTTTATCTTTTGTTCGTGTTACGGTTGTTCATTTTAAGATGTGCTTTTGAAATGATCTTACTTTTGTTGTCAGAAATGATTGAGACAGATATTGTAATTCTAACGTCTTAATAAGAAGAAGGAGCTTATTTATTTTATAGTTGGAAGGATTTAATTTTCAAGCTATAATAGTTCAGCAAAAAGCAGTAATCTATTATAAAGATTTTTAGTTACTTTTCCATTGTCTATAGTCATACTATGAATTTATAACAACCGGTTTTGAATAATTCATTCGAACTCCAAAAAATTTTTGTTGACCATTAGCAACTTTGTGAATTTTGGACTTTTTAAAGATTTAAGTATATTTGAAAGGAAATTTCATGGAAGGCATGCGAAAAGTTCTTATGCTGAACGAATATGGCTCATTTTTAGAAATTATTATGATGTGTTAAAGACCTAAATCTCCAGTACAAATTGTTTATGAAATAATTATGCCGAAGTCTTTCTACATTTCATTGTACAGAAATGTGTATTTTTTTCTTTTCTGGAAAAGATTTTAGGCTTTCAACTATTAATTTGTTTGAGCGATTAGTCCAACTGCAGCATTACTAAGACCGAGTGTCGTTTCGATGTTATAATTCGTGGATAATTGGAAAAAATGTAAATATGATGCAAACAAGCCAAAATATTACGCTGGGATGATGATCTTGGTAGTTTGAAATTTCTTCAATCGTTTTTCGTTTGACTAATGTCATTTCTGTCATTTCCAATGTCATTTTCTTATACCACTGCAGTTTGTTGATTTTCGAAAAAAAAAACGAGATAAACTTTAATAACAACTAATCATTTTGACTTGGCCAACTTTTTTATTTATAACTAAAAGATGGATTTAGATGAAACTTAGAAAGTAATCAACTTGTACCGAAGACCATGTCAGGAATGAAATCGAAGTTGTGGGTATAAAAAAATTATTTTTGTAAAGAATCTAAAGTGATGTTAGTGTGTTGGAGATAAATTTAATCTTCTAGTAATAAACTTTTGCAGGCAGTTCATTTCGTTTCTGGTTCATTGTTCTTATTAATTTTACATTTTCAAAAGAGGATTGATGTCTTCATATAAATTTGGGCAAAAATCATCTTTATGATTAATAACATAAAATTATTGAATTGAATTGAAATAGAATGCATATGTTGACGTAATTAATTTTCTACCAATATTTTTTCGATGGTGAGTTTATTAGTGACAGTTGTTCATCACTTTCCATTCTCAAAATAATTTTCATCTTTGAACCAAATAACTTGAATTTTTGCACCTAACAACATTAACTCTCTAATCCAGTTTCACTTTAAAGTGGCACTTAACGGCGCAATATAAATGTAATATGGTGTTTAATATAAAGTTTATAAAGATATGACAAGAATCTAGATAGGCTTTAGTGTTTGATTCGAAATACTTGTTTACAAATGGAAAATTAATGAGTAGTACATGAGGGAAATAGAAGAGAAAAAAGAACTGTTCAATAACTAGAATATGAAATGATGGATTGGTTTATGAAATAATTAAATGTATTTGTCATAGATTTTCCTTGTTATTTCGACTTCTTTCAGTTGATGGCAAAATTGGATTGCTGATTCAAATGAATCATGTTCAACTTCAAGTATATCTGGATTTTAAATATCCTCTAATTGTCTTGATTTCTTTACTCTAAAATTTCTGTTTTTCCTGAAATTTCGTTCTTAGTGAAATCGTCGTACAAGGTCAAGTCGCAAATATAAGATGTTCAAGATAACATAAATGATAAACTAAAATAGATAAAGATTTTTTTTGATAGCCACATCAAAAGTTTGAAGCAGTGTTTTGAAGTTACGAAAATATTGTTCATCCTAGAAACCTTGGCATTTGTACACATCTGCTTTGATCAAACTTTTTGTGTTATTTTCACTTTCTTCTAAATATTCAGTATCCTTTTTTTAAATTAATTCGAGCAAAAGATTTTTGGTTTCTAAAGTTAAGAAAAATCACAGATAGTTTAATATCCTAAATAGATTAATGTAGGTTGAAATAAAGTGATAGCCAAATATGGTGATCTATTTTATTATAATGTATTTTTAAATTGTTAGTTTATATGAGTATTGCTACAATTATTGAGCTCATGGATTTAAAGAAGCAAATTTTTATGGCAAATGGAAAAAAAACTTTTTCAGGAATATGCAAGGAAGATGCGAAAAAAAAAAGGATTAGTAGTTGGAGCATATCGAGCTAATATGGAGTCATTATTTCCACTTTATACACGGAAAAAGCAAGCACCATTCCCAGCTAAATTGCTCTTTGCTAGCCAGCAACTTATGAAGGATGCCATTAATCCGTTTACGTTACTAAAAGGAAGCACTGCGCAAGTTGGTATGCTTTGTTTCTTTAGCTTTTTATTCATGCCGCTAAGATTTCAATTGAAGAATTTTTCATATTGAGAGAAAAGGAGGGCACAGGATATGTTTAAGTTATTAATAGATCATTATTTCGGGATTCAACGAGGGCTGAAAAGGAGTGGTAGATTGAGACACCAGATAATTCCAGTGAATTGTTGATTCATTAATTTATTAATTATTTTAATTGATGAAACACTGCAGACGTCGATAGTAAATTCAATCAAGATAAACTTATAATAGGCTCTAAAAGAAAAATCGGATTGGCATTAAGTTAGTGGGACTTATAGCAGTTAGCTCGGTAGTTCGTTTTTCAAAAATTCTCGGGTAATGTGAAACTAATGGAAAGCATTAGCTAATTGCACTGTTTTCTTCTTTGGTTTTGTAATTAGTGATGTAGACAATAATGAAAAGTACAATTTACCCAAATAAATCTTTATCCATTGTAAAGCATCTTTTGGTGACAGTACAGAGGGATGAAGGTATTTATTCATTCTCGTCAAATAATTCAGCTTTATTAAACCATCGACTATGTGAACTTTTTATCCTTATTCTAGTGCGACTGTGAAAAGCTGGCATATCAAAATTAATAACAATAGTATGCATTTGTTCATAAATGTAGTAACATTTGATCATATTTCAGTTATTCTCGGAAATCGTAATTTTGAAATCCAGTGAGAGCCTTTAAAAATTGGTTTTGATTTTTAGTCTTTACAATGACAATTGAGGATGACAGGACAAAATGGTAGAATTCTTTTTATAGATGGTTAGAAAATTTATGTGATTAAGAAATTATTTAACCGAACTGTTCAGTTCAATCATGATAGACATAAGACAATCATCAGTCATTCTCTAACATTTTGAAAAAAATTTTTAAACATTCCGCTAACTTTCTTTTCCTGTTCTAAAAGATTAAGCATTAGAATGAATTTTGTAAAAAAACCGGGCTTACAATGCTATCACAAATGGATCTTTTGATAATCGTAGAAGACACTTTTCTTTTCAGATGCTTAATCTTTTTTAGTTATTCTCGTGAATTTAAGAAGTGAACGAAGTGTCAAATTTAATGAATTTCTTATCCAGAATCTTAAAGGATTTTTTTTAGACGAGTTATGAAAAGAAGAACTACAAAAGCCTTATTATTAGATGTCGTAAAATATAGGAAATGAGTTTAATAGTAAAATTAGATTAGATCATATTTGGGGTTCGTCCATGATTGGGTGTCACTTTCATTGATATCTTTAAGAGGATTGTAAATTGATTTTTTTTCAATTGTATTTTTTAAATATTATTGATTAGAAAGTGGTGGGAAGAATTTGAATATTTACTTTATTAATTCGCGAAAGTCAAAAATTCCTTTTTATTGATATTCATTGTTTTGCACAACCCTGAGTGTTGTTCATGTTGCCAATTTTCGCCATAATTTTAGATGACGAATCCGGTAGTAAACAAAGATTCGCGCCGATAATAATGGGTTGTCTACCCTCAGTTAGTCAACAATCTAATATGCTTACTTCAATAATCTTTAATTTAATCATGCATTTATGTGCGGTGAAAAAGGACACAATGTTTCAATACGGTGCCGTACAACTTATTACATTTCTTTCAGCTAGGTAAGTTATTAGATTGAAGCGGTTATTTTTGAACTAAGAAATATTTTGACAAACTATATAAATGTTATGAGAATGAATAAATGTTAAGAAATAAATTGGAATTATTAGAATTTGTTTTTGAAGTACTATTTAATTTCTGCATGAAATTGTTATGAAACTTTTATATAATAATAGTTTTACATATAATATTTATTTGATTCCGTTCTTTTATATAATAATAGTTTTAAATATAATATTTATTTGATCATTTTTTCGATATAATTGTAAATAGTTATTTTTGGGTTTATTAACAAAGGCAACGCCATTGTTCTGATCATTTTAATCATTGATTATCATTTGTTACGGTCAACCTGTTCGAAGCAACATCTGACATTCCCTTATTTTAAACATAAAGAGTCCATAAAATTGATTCATAAACTTTTCCAGTTTCCCGAACTTCTCTTTGAATCGATTTTTCCTTTCCAAAGTTGATTTTCTCTAGTTGAAGAAGATAGGTAATTGTTTATATAGCTCGTAGTTTTACTTTTTTATCTTACCAATAAATTTTATTTTTATTTTGCAAATAAATTGGAGTTTTTTAAAGCAATTTTGTGCTGGCAACTTGTGCAATGGATTCTAATATGCAGTTTGTATCAAATGGAAGTAAACACAAGTCTTGGCTACTCAATAAATTATTTACTATCAGACCAATATCCGGTTATTTAGGATTTCCACGCGACAATTTCAGTCCTCCATTTCCGCTATCAAGATCTCTCCCTTACGAGAAAAAATTTAATTCGGTAATTCCTTTTTTTACTTTTCAAAGTATTTTTACTAGTGTTCAGGATATAAAACCTCAACAAAAAATCGCTGATATTGAGTTTTTTGTTGTTATTGTTACTTAATACTTTTTTATGATGAAATCGCATATTAAGCTCGTTAAAATTTTATTAAATTTCGTCAAGTGTGTCAAGTTTTCATTAAATAGTCATTATTTGCATGGTTAATATTCCAAATTTCATATTGGTATTACGAATGAAAATCTGTATGGTGTGACAATAGAGCCGAAAAGCGAAATTGATATTGATCGTCTGAATTTGTTTGTCAGTTCAAGTGAGGAAATTCTAATAAAGTACGCATTCTGGATTATTTTTACGGGCAAGATGACTGCTAAAACAAAAGTTGCTCAAAAACTCAGGTATGATGCCGGGATTACTGTCAACTGAGATCAATTGGGATTAGTTGATTTTTTTCTCATGATATATGTATGGAATGTGAGCTCGATTTTCTCATTAAAGATTTTCTATTTTCTCATGTTAGTTATCAGATTTTCCTAACCTCAGTTTAATTTTTAGTTGATTTTATAGTCTCAATGATTGAATTGGATAGTGGTTGAGTTTTATTTTTGTAACTTAATGTTTATTCTATGATAAAGTTAGAATTTCAGGGAATGGCTTCCAAAAGCTAGCATAGATATAAGCTCTGTTATTGAATCAGATGCTAAAGTTGCTGATTTGAAGCTAGAAGATTTCGATAAAATGTTTTCTTTGCTACACATGGAGTTGAATGATAATTTTAGATATATCAGTGAGTTGAGGAATTTTTATGCTCACTTTAGGCCCGCAGTTGAAAATGCTAAATTTGCCGATTAATAAGGTAATTTGTAAAGTTCTGATCCGCTTGTGCTATACAATGTGGTGAGACGAAACGAATTACAACAACCATATACAGAAAAGTTAAAACAAATGAGCATTAACTAAAAATGCTTGTTAAAGCAACCGCATAGATGAATCAAGTTTAAGTTGGCCTTGTTGATTATGCTTTGCTATTTTGTTACTGCGTTTTCTGAGAGTCTCATTTTATACTTTAATCGGTATTAACCCTCACTTGATGTTATCCAGTGTTTTATGGAATTTCTATCAATCTGTTAAAACCGGAAAAATTAAAAAAACTCCTAAAACTTAGTTCAAAGTGGAATTCAAGCGGTAATTCCTTGAATTCCAATTTGAACTATTTTAGGAGAAATTTGTCAATGTGACGTATGATATCTTTATTAACGCTAAACGCTTAATCTGTCAAGAAGCGCTTAGTTGGTAGTGTAAATCTGATATTTCTTTTTAAATCTTTGAATAAAATAAAGATATTTCTTTTTTTTAGTATACTTTTTGGTTTTTTTAATTTGATACATCTGTTGTTTGGAATTCACATATATTGAATTGTTTTCGATGTTTAGATGCCATGAAAATTAAAGGAATTCACTTATAAATCTTAGATTAATGCAGAATATTGTTATATATATGTATATAAAGTTATCTGGATGATCATTAATGTAAGCATTCGCATAAAAATCTCAAATGTTTGGTTTTAAATTATTTTGATATACGTAAAGTGGGAATGAAAGCGCCATTTCGTAGGAATTACAGCCATATACATATTTTACTGAAAGTGTACTGAGCTGTGGCACAATGGTAGAAAGTTATCGTTTTAATGAAATTTTTTTAAGAGTGAATTGAATTAGGATGAGTTTTTTAAGTTAAGAATTGAACTTGAACAAAATGAGATTTCCTCAGCAACTTCCGATGGTCGTCTTGGAAGTAGTTCAAATACCGAAATGGCCGAAGAACGATTTGATTTTAGTGTTTCAGTCTGCGTCTCTGGACAATTTTGATTTCAAATCTATTTGAAAATCTAATATATGAGTAGTGCAATTGCAGCCATCAGAGGTAGTTATAAGAAAGTGCGCTCAAAGAAAAAGTTAGCTTTTGTTTAGAGCCTGCTGTTTCATAGTTCTAGGGAATTCTTAAAATCTTTTCTAGATGATTTAAGTTGAATAATTTATGCCTTTGAGGATCTACTTTTTTTAAGGAACTGTATTGTGAACAAAAGACCAATCTGGGTCTCTGACTTAACCTGACTCTTCCAAGATGTTAATGAATGTTGTAGTGCTAAAAGAAAGATAATAGAAGCTGCAGAAGAAGGAGATAGTTTTGGACCGAATTCAGGCATCCGATAAGTGTTGTTTATTACATTCAATGCCTCGAACAGTTAAATAAAATTTAACAGTGAATGGTTTAGTCCTTCTCTTCCCTGAAAATTAAGAAATATGAGTTTAATTCCGCCTAGATTCTCACATTTGGTACAATATCCATCAATCATTCCTTTTTTAAATTATTTCGTTTGCTATAGCTAATAGAATTGATTGGTCTTAAATTAATATATTACACGAGGAATTCAAAATAGTTTGAATGAGCTAGTGGATTTACCACTCGTTTGCAGAGAGTGAGGGAGAGCGAGGAAAGAAACTAGTGGAAGAATAGTGGCATTGGTTGCACTCATTTTGTCCAGCTTGTTAAATTTAATTTCGTTGCTTTTTAAAGCGTCAAGTCTTTTTTTTTTGCCTGAATGATTGATTAGCATTATTTTTTCATGTAGTTAGGTATTTGTGTTAATGATTTTTAGCAATTTGGAATAACGGAATTGGAGTTTGAGCTTGAACTTCAATTTTTTTGCACAAGAGCTTATACAGAGGGAGTTAGCCTTTGCTGTACTTAATAAACATCAATAGATGTATGATATTTGAGTTCAAGTGTGGCACTTTTGTTCGATGCAGTAGAAGTACTGTCGTTGGTGCTTATCTTTCATTTTCATTGCTTGTAGTTCTCCTAGAGAATCTTGAAATTTGTCTTTAATTTTAAGTTTGCTGGCAATTATGTGGATAGATAAGTTATGATGCATCTGAGAAATGTACTACTATACGATATTTCTAGGTGGTACCGCACATCATTCCATGAGCGTCAGCGTGGGTGATGGCACCTCTCATCACTCATTAACAACCAATCGTCACTTGCAATGGAAGAATCAGAAAGTATTCATTGACCGGATATATCAGGTGATATCTCTAATTATCATTTATTGTGCACCCCGCTATACTTCATCATTGATCACCGTAATCTGTCAACACATGCATGCCTTACGTCGCTGCTACTGATGACATCTTTTGATGACTTGTCCTCAAGCCAAGCAAAAGAAGTTTTGTAATCTTATTTTAAAAACTGTTGTTATGCCCAAATGAAGTCGAGGAATCGGTGACATCGTTTCATCGTTTCGTGATACGTTTCATTCTCTCCATTCATCGCACAATAATTACTGTTAACATTCATTAAGATGCTTTCAGATTTTCAAATAGTTTTTAAATACTCAGTATAGTCTCTATCGTTGCATTTACAGATATCCAACAATTGTCATCCTGGCATCGGATTGGATCAGGCAGCTGCTGAGCACATTCAAGAAATATTGATATGTTTATTTTTTGAGTTGTTAGAATGTCATCCACAGACAATCGAGAATATGGAGCGAAGTATGCGTACCACTTTGCCGCCAAGCATGTTCCATTGGGTTACCCAGGTCACTTTGGAGTCTTCATCATTCTTTTCCGTCATGTAAGACCGAAAAGTATTGGTAAAAATGCAAGTGATCGTACAAACCTTTTAGTTTCAGTTTCAAAATACTCCTGAAGCATTACACAGAATCCCACGAAAGAAACTTCATGATAAACGAAACGCAAATTCGAGAAGCTTAATGTCGCTTTTGCATACATTGCAACCAAAACTAAAGGTATCATTTGAATGATTTTTTTAGTGTAAAATCAGTGAATTATTTTATTTTTACATTAGAGAAATAAATGTTAAGTATTTAGCAGGAAATATTTACAACTATGATTTCAATGAAAGCAGTCATTCCAGGAATTGCTGGGTTACAAACTAGATGAGGAAGTGATGCTGTATTTGCTTTCCGTTATCGAATATATTGCTGCAGATATACTAAAGGTATGCTCGATGCATCCTCTGTCTCTTTAAAGTACCTACTCAGTTATTTTCTGGAGTAATTATTTCTCATTTCAGTGGACTGGGAATTATGTAAAAAACATAAGGAAATGTGACCCGACTATTGGTTTGCAGAATTTGAAAATTGCACTCAGTGCTGATACAGTGAGTAAAATAATTTATAATGATCCATATGTCTCTTACTCATTACTATTGTTAAACTTGGAGTTTTAAATGAGATTGTTAGAAGCGACACGATTCTTTATCTAACTCTTTTGCCTTCTTCATAATTTGTATTTTATGCTTCATTATCTGAATAACGATGATTCGTAGTCTTTCGCCATGCTTAATAGCCATTTCTGAGATCATGAAATTTTTATTTCTAGAGCTTGATGGAGCTTACAGAAATGTTATATAATGAGGAGGAAACATCTACATCCGGAATATTAAATGATAATGTTGAGGATATTTTACAGGAAATGTCATATGAAGAGGTGATTTTTAAGTGTTTTGAAATAACCCGTTTTTTGTTTATATTATAGCCTTACTTTATTGCTTCTATCAAAGATTGCATTGTTTTTTGCACATTCATTTGTTATGCATTCATTTTATATGTTGTTTGTGTTCTCGCTAAAAAGAGATGTAAATTTAGGCATCACGCGATTTCAATCGTGAGGAAGGTCAATATCTTCGTGACCTCAACCTCATCATTCATGTATTCCGGCGTCGTTTTGAGACTGTCTTTGAGAATTCTGATGAGGTAATTTCCAATAACCTTAACATCTTCGCCTACTATAATTCTGTTTGTTTACACCCAGATTCTGGTTTTTCAATGTTATCAGCTGTCAACGTAAAATGTATTTCCAGCACTACCTTGATCAAATGTTCGGCAACATTTTGGAATTGCACGAATTAACAGTGAAGGTCCAGCGAATGCTGGAAGATGCAATTGAAATGTCGGATACTCCATGTGTAGGAGCCGGCTTATGGGAACTTGCGGAAGCTCATGAATTTGATGTTTATATTGCTTATATGGTATCATTTCTATAAAATAAATAAATCTAACAAAATTTGGTTCAAAGTTTCTTATTTGTTTGATAGAACAATTATGTATTATTCCTTACGGCTTATTTTAAGGATTTATTCAAGGAATCATTGGCAACTGTAATAGAAAAAGTGTTAAATGATCCTAAATACGAGCACTTCTTTATGGTAAACATTGTGTACTTTTTGTTATTATTTTTGTTATAGAATTGTTATTTCTACATTATTCGTAGATTTAATATTTTACACAAAATCACTGTTTAATACAAAGAAAATTTTGAAACATTCGTTTTTTTTTCAGCAGGAGGACCGAGCGCACAGTATAACTCCTGGGAGTGAAACATTTCGACTTGTTGTTAAATACGTCCTTCCCTCTCTTCTTGAAATTCCTGTTATTCATTTCTTTCGTTATCTTGACCATATAAATGTTAGTTTTTTCGTGATCAAAAATTTTGATTCGATCAGAATAAGTTTCGATCCGAATTCGAGAAACCACGTTATCTTATAATTCTAACAATGCTAAATTTGATAAATATTTACTGCGTTAGAAAGTTATCGCACATATCTATAATTAGTTGGCTCTAAGACAGCAGTTGGAAAACTTTTTAAATTAATTGTCATTACGGTGTTCTAGATTTTGTGTCATTTGGCGCAACCAGTTGATGAAATCGAGGATTTGAAAAGCACGAAAAGTTACTTTAGCTGTCTTGCCATGAAAATGGAATCGCTGTGCCCTTCATTTCTGATCAATCATCTGAAAGCGTCAGTTTATTTTTTTTAACAAAATATATTACGTAGAGATTTGCATGATTGTTGTTTGGCTTTTATGTCTTTCATTGTCATTTTGCACTTTGTAGAGAACAGAGCGTTCGAGCTTTGCCGGAGTCAAATTGCTCACGTCAGAGAAGAAGGATTCAAGAGATTCAGCGAAGTATTGAATTATGGGAAGGCAAGGAAATTGGTTACAAATGTGCAGAAGTTATTAAAGGTTATGTCTATCTAGAATTTTCATACAAAGAAATTATTTATTGTTATAATGAATCCTCATAGTAAAGCGTTTTATCAATTAAAATTCATCTTAAAATTATAGGTAAAAATATCTTTAATAAAAAGGATTGATTTAGTCCTTTGTTGTTTATACCTTGTACATCTTGCAGAAGGTGATTTGTTATTATTGCGATCTGGACCACTATCTTCTGCTGGTATGTCTTTTATTCTAATTGCTTTACAACCAGTCGTTTAAATTCTTAAAAAAAATAATCACATTATTATGAATATTTTTCTTTGAATTTTGGTCATGTTATGATATTTTTGTAAGGTTTGTTATTCCCGAATTTCAAAATTCTTTTACAGACACGTTGAAAAAAAACAGAGGAACAACTGTGCGCCATACATTCCTCTTCGACTATCTTTTGGTGCTGTGTAAAACATTGCGCTCTTCAAGACCTGAAAAGCCGCTTTATAAATTCAAGGATAAAGTGCTTATACGTAAAACAGATATATTCGATCTGAAGGACACTGAAGGTTCTGTGATCTTGCAGATTTATATTGATATTAAAATTATTTTTTTATTTCAGCTTGGTGCTCTAAGCAAGTTATCATTTTTATTAAGCAAACGGTATTAACCGAGAAATATCTGCATTTTGATTGATTTTATTTCTACTCCATATCTAGTAACTCATTGCAGAACTTCAAAATGCGTTTAAAATCGTGTCGCGATCAATAACTCATGACGGAGGGGATAACAATTTCTGGATACTGTTTTGTCGAACGCCGGAAGAGAAAACTAGTTGGATGTGTGATCTAGTCAAAATTCAAGCGAAAAGGTGTGCAGAATTTCGACTTGTTTGTACTCACTTATAATTCAAATTTTTAATACATAAAATTCTTTTTCTATGCTTCAGCTCGTTAGATCGAATGTTGGATGCATCATTAAAAGAAGAAGAAAAACGAGTCCCGCTAATTTTGCCGACACCTGACCAGTATAGGTATAATTTTGTATTTCTGTTGCTGAAAATTATTTTGTAGCATTAATCTTTATATTATTGTATTGAGACTTTTATTGATTCTTTAAAACGAAAGTTTCAGATTCGCTGATCAAGATTGCGATGAAAATATTGTGTTTGAAGATTATACATCGAGCAGTGGTATACCAGTTGTTAAACATGGGACTGTTTTAAAACTTGTCGAACGCTTAACTTATCATTTGCAAGTTCTTGATTATTTTTAATTAGAAGTTCTCGGAATTTTGGTAATGATAGTTGGTGATTCATGGATTGTAAGGGTGCTTTTTTTTGGTCTAATCCTTTAAATTTACAGTCAAAGGAGAATTGTTTTGTATTAATTATCCGTATTTTCAGATACACGGATTATAATTACGTGAGGACTTTCCTGACCACTTATCACTCATTTTGCACCTCCTCAGAATTTTTGCAGTTGCTCATCGAACGTTTTCAAGTACCTACTCCGTTACAGCTCCAAGTAGCTGAAACGAATAACATATCTAACTTGGAATCACGGTAAAATCTGCAAAGCTTTATTAATTTGCACTTCAAAATCTATGGCAGGATGAAATCTGCAAACAGTATTTATTGCTAAATTCGCACTTTTTTAAAGTTGAAATAAAGTCATTTTCTCTAAAATAGAGTGTACAAGAAGATTTGGTTGCGTACTAACATTGTTTTAGAGAACTTTTAAACGGCCCTTATGCTACAGTACATTCGCAGGGTCTAAGGACCCAAGTTTCTCCGACATTATTAAATAGAATTGAACGAAGTTATCAACGATTTCGCAAAGAATACCAGCAGCCAATACAATGCAGGTATTTTAGCAATAATTTCTTTATATCTTTAATAACTGATTATACTCTGAAGCTTCTTTTTAATAACGATAGAATCAGCAGAAGAGTCACCAATAAAAACTTGAAATTGCATGAAATAAAACCATGTGTATTTTTCAATTTATAGAAATTCTCTCATAGTTAATTTTTACGCAGAGTACTGAGTGTGATTCGACAGTGGGTCAACAATTATTGGTATGATTTCGAACATAATCCGGTTCTTTTGCAAGATTTATGTTCGTTCTTGGAAGAAACTGACTCTCATGGAAAAGTTATCAATCAATACAAGAAGTGGTGCAAAAGTATTAAGGTAGTAATTTCTTATAATTAAAAAATGTCTTTTTAACTCATTTGTTTTTCTTTTCATTGCAAATTTTTATTGCAAAACAATCCTTTTCATTGCAAATTTCATTTTCCGCAACATCAATGTCTTGATAGTTTTATTCTCAAAAACGTAGAATATATTTATATTACTTTGTTAAGACTGACTTTTACCAATAATTTTGAAAATTCGTTATTCGGTCCTTTTTGCTTCAATCATAACAAATCATAATTTTTTTGCATACTTGTATCGAAAGGAAAAGGCGAGCTGATATGATACCATCGATGATACATAATGGTTTGGAAAGCGTGTCTTCTCTATCGACAAACACATCGTATGGTCCACAGAAACCGAAGGTAATTATATATATCATTTGTTAGATGTCTTAAATTTCCCCAAAATTTTCGAATCTATGGAAAAAAGTAATTTTTCTCTTGTTAAACATTTTTTCTTAACATTTTTTTAGATTTTGTGGCATATTGCTGAGAAAGGAGCCATTGAAACGTACGATCTCCTATCACTCCATCCAATTGAAATCGGTCGACAGATAACTCTGTTGCAGTTTGATCTATACAAAGCTATTAAACCAATTGAATTGGTTGGTTCAGCATGGACAAAGAGAGATAAGGATCTTAGAAGTCCACAGCTGCTGAAACTTATCGACCATAGCACTATGGTTTGTTAATATTGTGCTGAAATAATCACATTACTGCTTTGCGACCGGTTCATGAAAAATGTGATTTTCTTTGCCAGAAAATTTTTTTGTTCACGTTCTTATATTTTTAAAATGTATTGAATGATATCTCTATAAGTATAGTATAAGTCTATCGTATGATCAATTAACTTGCTAACTTTTTTCTAGTTGACCTATTGGGTTGCTCGCTCCATTGTGGAAACTGCTTCACTGGATGAACGGGTGTATATGTTCTCACGAGTGCTAGAAATAATGTCTGTTTTCGAAGAACTCAACAATTTCACTGGACTTGTTGCTTTATATTCTGCTTTGAATAGTAGTTCTGTATATCGACTTAAGGCGTGCTGGGAGGTATTTTTTTTTTATTTGCTGAAACTACTTTTTATTATTTACGTCTCCTTTTATTTATGATTATCTTTGACTTTTTATTTTTTTAAATTGAAAATCTTTATATTTGGATTCATGATTACTTATTTGAAGAGAACCGATCGCGAAAAACAAGTGTGGTATGAGAAATTCAAAAAACTTTGCAATCCGCATTGGAAGGAAATGATTGAACGATTGAAAAGTATCAATCCGCCTTGTGTCCCCTTTTTTGGTCAGTTTTGATAAATACTATTGTACAGGTTTGTTAGAGTATAAAATAACTCCAGCGAATTTTATACAAAAAAATTTTGACGGAATTCATATTAATGTTCAAGAACCTCTTTTGCTTACAATAGCATCATCGATTTTCGCCGTTAAAGCGAAATTTAACAGAGTGCAGCAGTATCTTTGTGATATTATCGTTAAAATGAATGTGTAGATTATTATATTTCTTATTGCATGATTCTGTTTATCCGAAATATTTAAGGTCATTATCTTTCCAAAATCTTTTTTTATGAAGAAGGAAACAGCACATTTGTGCAGAGCGAAGATCTTACTCATGAACAGGTTGTATTTTTATCTATTTAAGACACAGTACTTTTTTAATTATATATCTATCTTGTAAAAAAATTAAATCCATTCTGAGTTTCAAGTGCTTATTGAGACTGAAATTCCGAAAGTGCTTTTAAGTATTCAAGAATTACATGTCACTTTTTTAAATAATGAGTATTATCTCAAACATGGGTATTTAGATTGACAATAAATTTTATGCATTTTTTAGTGGCTTTTACTTGGCTTCAAAAATGAAAAGTACAGTATTTGCTATACTTTCATTCTGTAGAATGCTATCATACACCCAATTTTTGATACGTTTCACGGCTTATTTACTTCTTTAAAGCAGTTCTGGTCAGAATTAATGTTCATCAGAATTAATTTTATTACTTAATTGCAGTTCTGTCCAGCTGATACATCAAATTTAAATTTTGATTTCGTTGTGCTTAAAGTTTTGTGATAATTTTTTTGATAATCTAAAATTCGTTGTATTTAAGATTAGTGCCGAAGGTAACGCATCAGTTGTGGGTGCAACAGGTCGTAAAGTGATGGTGTCGTTTGTGAAATGTCGTCGGATAGCATCAATTATTAGTGATATCCAGATGTATCAGAACGAACCATATGCTTTGGAAGTAGAGCCAAGCGTAAGGGTAAGGAGCTTCATGGAATTTATAAATTCGTTGATGAGATCTGTAGGCTGGATCGAATTCCCTTAATGTGGATACAGATGTTCACTTCTTGCTTTTTTATTATCCATATAAATAACATTATTCACATCAATCTTCTTAAAAAGTTTAAAACTTTTCACTTCTTTCTCTCTTTTAGTTGTAGATTGGGAAACTGATCATTTGTTTTCTTGTTGTTGCTATATTAGCTTTTTAGATATCTTTCCCTCTATGCAGTCATGTTTCTTTATTGTCTACAGTAGAAATGGCAACCAACAAAACAACACTGTAGTGATTTCTGTTTTGTTGGTTGCCATTTCTATTGTGGGTTAAAAATTGTATAGAGATGTTAGTTAAAAATGTATAGAAATAGTTTTTGTAAGCATTTTTTCATTATGGTATACACTGACCTAGTCGCCGTCCTTTTTTTATCTTTTCTTTTCATATCTAATGGCCCTTTTCTATTCCAATTATTTTTTTTATTAAGAAATCCTCATTTCATATTCTTAATTCAAAAATTTTTCGAAAACATGTACGTTTGGCATGCTTGATTAGCTTAACAAATCCTTCGAAATTTTTAATTATTACTATTAAGACTATAAATGAAAGTGAATCTGCCTATCATCAAAGTATTTCCTGTATTTTGTGTGACAATACAAAAGCAAATCGTTGATTTTACGATAGGTTTTTCCTAGGGAATTGTAACGGAAGTTAGAAGAAAAAAGAATGAGCTAGCCCATTAGTAACAGGAAGAGGCGGAGAAGGAAAAGTTTGTTTCTAACAAACTACCGGAAATTCATTTTTTGAAGAATGGGAAGAAAACAAGATGGGAGAAGACGAAATGTGTTTATCCTATCTGTTCTCACCAAAAATATCAATTCATTATCACTGTTAGCAATTTTACTGTTTCTGGAACATGTTCATCCTGGTGGTGTTTGATACGTGTGAATCCCGAAGTTATTTCAAATCATTATCTTTTTGCTTTTTCTTCTCCCTGCTTACTTTCTTGCGTTTTCGTAGGTGAAATGGAGCTTGCCTGACTTCATTTCATTCTTCTCTTTCTTCCTTTCCCTCTCACTTTCAACTATCTTTTTTTCTGCTGGTGGATCATTTGTTTGATATGTTTTCCGTTAGAAACAATTTAATTTTTTGTACTCAAGTGGGAGTGATAGCTGTTCATTATCCGGTGCAAATCCGAGAAATACGTGATTGTGAGTTTCAGAGTGTTCTTTTTTTTTCGTTTTTGGCTACATTACTGAAATTTCAAGTCTTAGTTATTAGCTGCGGTACTCTTGAACCTTTTTAGCTTCTTTGTTTTGACATATTCCGTGGGATATATTCAGGTTGAAACAAGGATCCTTTATTTACATTTACAGAGTTGAAAATCTGAGGTGTCCCAAAATAATCAGTTGCCATCCAGAAAATTTTACTATATTAACTAGAAGTTTCTGGAAGTCTGAAAAATCCTGAACGCTTCAACATTACCACCTCTCAGATCATTGGTTCTGGAAGTTGGATAGACGTAGTGTCTGCTGAAGGTGTCAGTCACTGCCGACGTGGATTTGGCCAAATCAAATGGATCAGCAGCAGTTGTATCAGTAGGAAGCGCCCTTTGAGGCGGGCAACTGCAAACAGTAAAAAATGATTAGTGTCTCTTTGTATGTCCGAAGAAACATTTAGCTGTTTGCTGGCTTAATTCTTCCTCGCATTTGATCATTTGGCAACGATTCGTAGACGGCATGGAGAAGAGTTGGCTGCGATAAGGAGGGGAAAAAAGATGGAGAGGCGCAGAGAGGGCGATATATTCAAACTTTGTGTAATCAACGTTTGGAACTTATGTTGAAAAGAGGCAGATGATTGTGATTAATTTCGATTTGACAGTTTCTATTGATGGCCTTTCCTCTTTTCGTAATCCTATCTGCAGACGGAGAGAGGTTGGACATTGAAGTTTCTCCTTTCAGAATTTCTTAACGATGATTTAAACTATTTCTATTCGCAAAGTTTTACCGTTGTTATCTTCATTATTCTTTTCCCATCAAAATAATGATGAATAGGATATGGATTTACGTCGTTCTTTTTGTTGCAAATTTCACCTATTCAGAGATTTTTTTGATTGAGGAACGGAGAGATCCACATTTTGTTGAGGTGGGCGACAATATAAGGAAATCGCTGCTAAAACTCAATATCATTGAAAATTTCAGTTTAGAGCTACACGTACGTTAGTTTCTATCGTAATCTTGCAATATTTTCTTCAGATAAAAAGTACTTGATGAAATTTTCAATTTCAGAAATAGGAAGGTTCCATAGTAATTTCTAGAGAAGAATTTCTTTCAACAGTTTGCATTTTCTCGCCTAATTGCAGGTGCAAAAATTAGGTACTTATTTTAATTTCGGAGTGACTTTTGCGTAGCTTCGGGACTTCAAAAATCTTTAAAATTTTAATGCAGTTGTTTCTCGGTCCACCGATTGACATGGTAATGAAAGCATTCATAGTTGGTCAATTTGTATGCTTTAGCAAATTGTGCTTTAAATCAATGTGTTGATTGAGATGGAACTTTCTGTTGAATTTATCTCTCTTTCAAAATATTGTAGAAAATAAATTGAGGCATTCGAATGAAATAAATTAGTGACTCATGGTCCAAATTTTGATTTTCATTTACAGTATATAAGGTTGTACTTTTCGTTTCAGAGCTTTGATGCATCTAGAAACATACAGCTTTTAGAACAATTTAAGAATTCCAAAAATTTATATCATTGAAAAAAGTTTACTGCCAAAATCCCCCTCTACACACGCTTTTTGGTGTCTTATTATGGATATGTAAGTGTATTACCTATTTATTTGCCATTTTTCTGCTCGAAGTTAATACAACGATGAAATATTATGCATCTGACAACTCATTTAAAAAGAAACTTGAAATCCTTAATTTTTATTCATCTCAATTTTTGTTTTAATTTGATCTTGAACAGATTCTGACTGTTATTTTTCAGTTTTCCCTTTTTCTTTCATTTGATATGTATAGTTGCGAATAAATTTTACGATCATTTTTAAAATCTTCCGTTAACAAATCGATTTTGTGAGATTTTCTAGTTGCTATGATATCGAACTTAATCAGATTTTGGTTGTGAGGATTCCATGGTGTCGTGGGAAGATGTATATATATATATATATCGCACTGTAAGAAATAATGAATGGTACTATTTTGGGGGTTCAATGGTTCCTGTCTTATCACAATGTATATATATATGTGTATGAATGTATGCTAGCTAGCATATGTATTAATGTATGTGTCGGTATGATTGATCAGTGTGCCCGATATGGAACCGATCTGTTGTCCATTCCTGTGATCCTCTCGTCATTCAATATCTTCATCTTCTTTCATCTTTCATCCTTCTTGCATGCTATAGGATAATTTCTTTTTCTTTTTTTCTTCACTTTTGTTTTCATACTTTTTTCGGGTTTTCTAATGTTTCGAGTTGTACAAATTTTTTAGTTATTTTCTAAATTATCTCCGTGCATCCTATCCTAGGAGGATCCAAGAATTTCAACCTTTCTTCTAAATTTTTTCACTTTAGTCACCACTGCCAGCAAGAAAAATCACGGGTAGTTTCGATTCTGTCGGCAACTAATTTCCCGACTTTTATGGAATTTAATTTCTATTCTTTTATTTTTTCAAGTGGCTAATTCCAATTCAAATCAAATAACAATAACTTTACACATTTTTATGAATTTAAGATATTTTGGCAAGACCATGTTTTTTATAAAATAAAAGCGATTATCGATGTAGTTAACCAAAAATGGATTTGCTAATATTTTGGTATGATAGATAAAAAAGTATCGGAAGTGAGATGCGGGTCGATTTTATTAAGGATAGAGGAAGATAAATTATTAAAAACAATGCAATCAGTTTAAATTCATCAAATTATTGACAGTTTCAATTTAAAACATTTTCCACTTACATTATTCATTAGCAGTTCGACAGAGTTATAGCTAATATATAAATGTATCGGTGGGACCATAAGCCATATCAACTTTTTCCTCGAAAGAAGGTGCTTGAAAGCACTAAAGTTGCTTATTTTCTCTGTATTTTACGAGATTTTATAGTTTAGTTTATGAATGGACTCTATTTTGAATCTTTCCTTTTTGAAGTTTTGTTTTTATAGTTAGCCTTTATCACATTCATTTAGAAGGCTTTTAACAGATGATCAGTTTGAACTGAGCGTGGGCATTTACTACTCTCATTTTAGCCTTGAAAATTTATTTTTCTTGCCTCTCGTGAAAAGGGTGCGGTATATCTTCGTCTCGAAAATTTCATATAGGATTCTAATGTTCCGTGTTTATTTATGTTCATTCGCGCTTTAGCGTTTTTTTCACTATTATAAGTGAAGTAATAGAATGTTAACGTTATTGCATTGTGAAGAGATGGTACTGACTGATTATTGCGAGACGACACCGCTTATTGCTGATAAATGTGTGATGAGCAGACGGAAACGATGGTTTTGTCAAACTAAGGTGAGCAGTACTCAATGTTTCTTCTGGTGATGAGGTAAATAGGAATATTATGGTTAATGTATTATTCTGCCAAAACTATTTATTTTCTATACTTTTTGCAAAGATTTCCATATATGCCAACGCAATAATAAAGTATTCAGCTGATCAAACGCGATTTTAATCCAGTATTGCTGAATTTCAGTAGTATGAATATCGTTAACATCACTGGAAATGCCACTAAATGGTTGATGAATTATAAAATGCGTTTTCACATTTGCTGACTATTAAAAATGGATAGAAGAAATTAATTTGCCCATCGTTATTCTTTGAATGAAATCAAAGCTGACAGAGTTTTTCTTTAAGGATAATGCTCTAAAATAATAAATTGTTGACTGCTATTTTGTGAGCTAAAAATTAGGACAGTAGTGATCTTTCTAAGTTCTTGGTTTTTAAAACTTCAATTTTTTTCTATTGTTCAGTTCTGCAATATTTCTTTGGTTAGAGTGAGAAAAATTAGCTCTACCCGGATTAATTTATGATTTGAAAATTAGCAAAAATTAATAAATTAAGCATGATTTGAAAATTAACACTATTGAATTTTTTGTGATTTAAAACGCAAGTGCTGTCATATAAAATTAAAAGCTTATGAGTTAGGTCTGGAAAGTAGTGGTATAAATAATTTTAAATTCATTAGCATTATTTGGAGTCAGTCTCATAATTTCAATGCTAAGCAGATGACTAACTCTGAATCCTTTGAATTTTGATGTTGTCAAAAAATAATCTCTTGTTTAAACGGCATGAACTACGGTTTAGTTTATATGTTTTTTCCATTCTCTCTATGCCGTTTGTTTTTTTTGAATGGCAGTTATTGAAGTCATTTAGTTCCATTGGAGGATGTTTATCTGCTCTGAACACTGCATTACCTTTATGTTTTATTCCAAAGCATTACTAAATTTTTCGTTCAAGTTTTCTCGAAGGTTTTTTTGTAACATATTGATATCACCACACAAACTGCTTCAATTAGTTAAAAATAGTTTGAGAACAAATCATTCATTCTGACTCGAATTGTTTTATTTTGGATAAGAAGGAAATGATATATAGTGATTTTTTTAATTGATATGAAGACTCTTGACTTTCGAAATAGTATATAATATAATATGTTTCATTGATAGATTAATTGCTTAATTAATATGCTGTGATTCCCGGTGAGGGAAGTTGGTTCGATCTGTAACTTATCCTCTCAGTGCAACGGAATGTTGCATTCATACATTTGATTATATTGTCAATCATACCACTTGGAACATATTGTACTATTTATACCTTTTAACTGTTAGTGAAAGTTGAAGGAGTGAATAGACAAACCCGAACGCTCTGATGATGACCCTGTGATTTGTCTGAAAGCCCTATTTGTGGTGCTATCTAAAAATGTTCAGTATATTTACATAATCCATTCCCTTAAAATAATTCTTACAGAGTTATTTTCAGCAGTGGAGTAATGGATCGATTACTTCGATTTATTTAATAAACTTTTAATTATTCTTAAGTATTCTCAACCTTACCTTCACTATGTTTTTGTTTTGATGGATTTTATTTCTTTTGAGGGAGACAGAGAGGGATTTAGATATTCAGTGAGGGATGTGCGAAGGTATCATTTAAAATGGAACGAATCCTGTCATTACTTTCTCTTGATTTGAAAATAACAGGTGAATTGAGGAGGTGAATTTGTAATACAGATTGTAAAGTCCTTAGAAACATTTGTCGTAGGTTTGTTTTGGTACTTCGGTTGTTCAGTTGAGCGAATGTCGGATAAAAAAGTTTTTGATACCTCGAAGAGTCGCCTTTAATTTCAAGATCCTAATTACGAGCTTTTTAGATAATCGGAATAAAAGGGGATTCATTCTTGTTTGACCGAAACCGAAATTTCCTTTTTCAGTTCTTTCAGGACTCCTTTTTTGCGCATTTTTAGATATAGACTTAATTATCTTTTCAGTTATGAAATATCTTGGATTCTTTTAGAACTGAATTATTAGTGCAAATTAACTAATTTTATTGATTTTTTAATTAAGAGGATATTGAGTAGTTAAAAGAATATTGCAATATTCCTAGCAAGAGAACTGGAAGTATTGACGTCCTTCTCATTTTCTTTCGTCGTGTAGATCATTTTCAATGCTTTCCATTGTTTCAATTAATTGTTATCACCATTGCCAACAACAGGAACCTTTGCTGCAGCAACAGTTTTTTTTCAAAATGTTCATTAACGCGTCCGCAAAAAATCTGTCTTTCATTGCTGTGTGCACTGTTCTGTTGATAATATCAATGATCATGGCAGTAATGTAACAGTAATCCGGTGTTCAAATTTATAGTTTTAGCAAGCATTTGAAACACTGATAGTTTATTGTTGGCAGGTTGCTGATTCTTTGACTGTTGATCCTGATTGATTTCATTCTTATGTCAAAAGCCGGTGTATCACATTTTAAATTCCATCCCATTTCTGATTTCATTGTTCCATGTTCTCGTGTTATCTGACTTTAAGGCAGCATTTTGAAATTTCAGTTGTTTGTTTAATTTTTAGGGGATGTATGTTAACTTATTGTTCCAGTAAGATTTCAGTTCGAAAGATATGAATATTTTACCATAAATACATTTATATATCACTAATTCTTCTGTTTGAAATATAGTTCAGTTTGTACTGCTTTTCTTCACACATTCTGGGCACTTTTTTACCCTCTTTGAAAGATTATTTCCTGCCAATATTGTGTGGATATGTCTCTTTTATGCACAGTTATTTCATCAAGCCTGTGGTATCGACAGCAACAATATTGTGCAGTATGGTGATATTTTATCGATATTCAGGCAGTAGATGGTAACTTAATTGCGGAACTCGATCATTTGAAATGATTGCTGCCGAACTCGAACATCATCCAATCCCATTATCGTAGCAACATCTGGAGAGAACCTCATTATTTTCTTTCCGTTTTCATTAGCTCATTTTCCCTCGTAAAAATGCCAACCAATGATTTTTGTTGTGTTATCTATAACTTTTGAAAATTTTTCTCAACTGCTATCCTGCTTATCTGCGGATCTATATTATCATAGCAGCGGTTCAGTTCCCCTTTTTCTCTTATTCCTCACTCTTTCACTTCTTTGAAGTTCTCTCTATTTTACAGTGATGCTTCCATTGGTGTTGATTTCGATGAATGACTTCCGGTTGAATAGGCAAATATCAGTGGTTGTAGTTCTGCTTCTGCTCTTACTCCTAAGCAGACTTCCGCAGGGTTAAATCTTCATTGTTTTCCTTTTTATCCAATGCATTTTCTCGGCTTCTCCCTTCTTTGACAGTAAATACCTAATTTTTCGTTTCATTTTAATGTATCGGCCTGAGATTACTATTGTATATGATATGGTAGGTAGTATTCCTTTTGTTTTACCAGAGGTATAATGCTGTTATTGAGTTATTGGGAATCCAGCCGTATTTTTGGAGTCTTCTAAAGTTTATTCTGTCATTTTTTTTTTGAAGATAATTTTGAGAATCCAGAGAACGGGTAATGAATTTAAAATATTTGCCAAGAATTCCATTGATTCAAAATTTAGAGGCTTTTGCATTCTAAATCCTTCCTTTAAAAAAATTTGGGAAGAATCAATATAAAGTTTCCTTACCGTTATGACTCTTAATATTTTTATAAAATATGGAATTAGAGTTATAATCCTAATTTTTCTTATCAGTGAACATTAGAGTTGCATTTAATAAGTAATTCAATTAAAAGCGAGTCAGTCAAATTTTTGTTTGATTCATAAATGGCGTCATTAATCTGAGACATTGCTGCGAACGTATTTACCATAAGTGATTTTTTAGTTACTAATATTTAGTACATACCATATTACCTATCACATCACAATAACAGCACTGATTGCGGCATGCTTTCATGTGCCTTATGCTCCTGCTGCTCTCGATCGTGCTCCCGCTGCTCTTCTGCAGCATCATCTATTTCTGCATCTTACGACCTGGTAAATTTATCTTATCCGAAGTCAATTTCATTTCACTAAGTGTTTCTTACATTTTATCTAATTACTTTAATTCTGTTAAATTTAAAAGAATTTAATTACGTCTTATTTCACTTTTAAAAGAATTTTATTATCTTCCTTACACAACCTTCCCGTGTGTTGTCTTGATTATTCCGTCTGCTTTTATTTGTATGCGTTGCATCAGTAATATATTCCAGCTTTCATTCTCCATTGTTATTCTGCTTTATCAATTTCATACGGGCAAAAACTCGAAAACATTGATTGGTGTTTTTGTAATATTAGTTATTGGATGTTATTTTGTAGTAGCTATAATGACTTCTATATTTTAAACAGGTAAGTTTAATTCAACTGCTGTTTAACATTTTTATATGCAACAAGATAGATTTGATCTAAGATAGATTTTTTTAGTTATAATTGCATATTTCGAAATTTCAGCATTTTTTTGAAAACATTAACCCACTGAGCGGTTTTGATGGGAAGGAATCGTTGGAAACATACATGTGGGAACAGTCATTGAAGGTGGAGCCAAAAGATCCTGATAAAATGGAATTTGTTGTAAGTTTCTTTACGTTATTTTACTTAGCTTCTGTTGTTGTTTAATGTTGTAGATCAATGATTCGGTTAAAGAGCATTTTAAAGATACAGACCACTGCATGCAAAAGAAATACTTCTCGCTATCCTTATTTTAAAAAATCATCGTTTCAAATTTACATTATATACTCACTTTATTTTGCTATTTCTTAAGTAAAAATGAATTGGTGGCAAATAATAATAGCTTTTCTGAGACTTGCTAAGATTAGGCGAATCATTTTTATTGTGCTTTTTTTTTTTGTTATTAATATAACTTTATCCAAAAGTAATGGAATTAAGGAGTAGCTTTTAAGTATTTATTGATTTCTTATTTCACTAATTTACTACTCTTGTCAATCAATAGATTAATGGTACTAACCCTAAATATTCTTCTGTTTTTTATGATTTTCTTCTTATTCTTCTTCACCATTCTCTTTCCAAAGCTCTTTCAATGGGAAACTTTGGAAAAAATCGCAATCTGGATCTTTGTTTTGCTACTAAGTATTTAAATTAAAGTTTAAAAAACGCTTAATGTCCTTTGATTTCTTCCAATTTTATATCAGGAAATATGGGGATTAAAGTAATAAGTAATTCTCATCTATGTTGTCCGCAACAAAGGAATAAGTTCTGAAGCTGTTTTCTCAAGGTGGAATTACAGAACCTTGTTTATTTACTTCTGTAATATTGAATACTTAATTTTCTGTAAGTTATTTTTGGCAAATCTGAACAATCATGAAGTGAACTCATGATGAAAAGATTTAAAATAGCATTACAAATTACGTTGTAACAATGTTCAAGTAGTTGAGTGTTATAACTGCTTCTGGTAATGGTGACATTAAGAATTTCTTTAATTCTGACGAGAGCTTTTGTGACATTTCTTTGCATATCGATGCTTTTCATGTTAGCATTTTTTCTTATTGTTCAGTATGGATTGTTGATTGTAATAGCTCTCGTTTGCAGAAACCATCTAGACCAGCTCATGTGCTGAAATCGCCAGGTATTAAACCGCCGAAAGGAATCTCATCAGCACTCTCAACTAGTGGCCCATCCAACCATTATTCTGGACATCGCACTAGTGGACGATGTTTCTCCGCACTTAACAATTACAGTTCCAACGTATCCCACTCATCGGATATGTGAGTTTTCAATATTATAGCTTTTCAGAGCATTATTCTGTTACCGTGAAGAGATTTTGCAATATCATTTGATTTAATTAATATTTCCAGGTATGTTAGAAGTATTTATTTAAACGTTTTGAATGAAATCCAACGATTGTTTAAAAATGACTTAATAGCTAATTTTGCTAGAGAAAATGATCTTAATCTGGTCTAAAAGTAAAGTAGTTTAACTGGTTTAGGTTTTGGTGCTATTTAATTTTTATCTTTTCTTGTCTTAAATAGGTTCGAACAAGTGATAGCTACCAACCAAGGTTAACATGAATTAGGTACACTGTGAGAACGTAATGTATTGCTATGTACTTGCAAATACGAATTGATCTTAAGATTGCTCTATGTTCTGAAGGGCGAAAAAAAAAATTGAAATCGAGTGGTTTATAATGCTAAAAACTCATTATTTAATAACAACTTCGATTAGGGAATATATTATATATCTGAAACCACTTGAATCATATTCGTCACATTTTCTGGGAAAAATTTATGAATTATTTTTGTCTTGCAAAATAAATTATAGACTGTTCCTGTGATTTAACATTGTATGCTTTCTGTTGTCTTTCAAAAATGAGAGAATGAATTGAATTACTTATTTAAAAAATAGTTTATTTTTGCGAGTGTTAGGGAAAAGCAATTTATTTGAATTGAAAATATTTTTGGTGGTCGGCAACTGAATTCTTATCAGTTATTTGAATTGGATATTTTTCTTCATGCTGCATTGACATAAAATGTTTGTTGGTTGACAACTGAATTTCTAATAACCATTTAAACTGTATAATTTCGAAATTATCCATTTCTGATAATGATTTCATATCTTACTTTTGCTTATATTCTTCTTCAGATCACGTCCCAACTTCCTGCCAAGTTTCGAGGACCGAAATTCTTATCTTGGAATGGTTGAAATCACTCCAGGTTAATTCAAACTCTTAAGCTTACTTTTAGCAGGACAAGACGATTGATCTACTGCTACTCTAGAAATGAATTGATCACAGCTTTTTGGAATAAATATATAAAATTGGAGGATTAAAGTTGAAGTCTGTAGTTTCAAATATTCAAGTATCTGTATCTTTAGGTCAGCAACCGCGGTATCTTGGTGACGCAAAGCGCGGTACTCAGTCAACGATTGCTTCACCAACAGATCCACGAATTCCGTCGGCAATACCAAGGGCCAGGCATCGAAGCGATAAAGCATCCTCAACACCACCAAGTCCTCGTTCATCACAAAATGGTCATTTTCCTTCTCCATCACCACCTCCTCTCTATCCACGAAAATTGTCAACCCAGGGGCAACCGGCTCCACCACCACCTCTAAAAGTTTCGACTCATGCAACCCTAGATTTAAATGGTCCCATTCCGCCTCATTCTGCTCCATTTTGCACTGTTTGTCCAGGTTCGCTCACTTTAAAATAAATGTAGTTATTCATTTTTTATTTTCGATCTGTACATCACGTAATAACTTTAGTGAACGGCGTTGGTTTCAAAAAATATATATTAATGATATGAAATGTAGTATGTCGAAGAATATGTGATTTAATAAATTAGTATCATATTTTTGGCACTTTCTGAACTATTTAAAAATTTCTTCATTTTCATTCATTGCTGTGGTATTTCGAAACCTTCAGATTCATTTGTTTTTCCGCCATATGGAGGGAATGCAATATGTTCCCAAACAACAATTTTGGAAAATACCTCCGCTATAGCACAAACAACAAGCGTAACTACTCCAGCAGTACCACCAAGGAAAAAAGTGGAGCAATTACCATCTCCGCTGTCTGATGATGCTGTGCGCGTCGTCTGGAATAAGTTAGAGCTAATTTCTCAAATTTTCTGCAAACCGGATCTCAAGTTTGTGAAAATGGAAACAAAAATTTTGCCAATAGTCATCATGTTAACTGAGAATTTTTAGGGAAACAAAGCCAACAGTGCCTGATGTAAGCGCTGCAATGTCACTACCTTCATCATCGCAAAATTCAAATCAAGATGATGCAACTACAACGCCAAGGCTGTATCCACGACGAACTTGTCAAGTAGATCCACCTCCACGACCACCAAAATTGTAAGTTGTTATATTATAATCATTATCTGCGTATGAGCAATATTTTCATGTTTCAAACTTATAATATATTACATAATATATTTCAGACTTAACAAAAGACCGCAAGAATTATTTGGTGAAAAGGTGGTTGCAGAAAGAAATGGTTCTGATTCGCCTCCTCCGTTACCGCCAAAAACTTACAAACGAAAGCAGCAGCATAATCGTTCACAATAAGTTCAAAACAATGTAATATTTCTTTTAGAGTAATATATTTTTTGAGCTATTCAAATAGTCTAAAGATCCCGTTTTATTGGCATTTATGCATTACTACCAACTGTAAAGTAGTTTTGAATTGATGTTGTTTGCCGTTCCAGTGCGAACTATACGGCACAAGTTATATTCATGATGATGACTGCTACATGACAATATTTTACGGCATTTGTAAATAATTGCTTAAATAATAATCTGCGGTATCCTTGCTTTTTCTTATAATAACTCAATAGTAATAATTTGTTTAATAGAAATGAATCTTTTGAAGAAAGATCTTTAGTTTCTCTTAGTTAAAGAGGAGCAGAACATTTGTTCTGATAATAGAAAAAATTTTCATTCATAAAAGTTTGCAAATTAAAATTTTGATTTCAGAAATGATGTTTGTTCTCATTTTGGACTTTTGTTGTAAAAGTCCGTGCTGTGCAGCTGCATTATTTAGCTTTGCACAGTAATACTTTTATTGCTATTGATTCTTTATACTTTATGACGGGTTTTAATCAGTAATTTGATTAATAAGTGCCTAAATTTCTGCAATCTTCCTAAACTTCTACAATCTTACTCAGAATATAATCCGTACATGTGCTTCTCTCTGCCATATTTTTCTTCATTTCTATTGTTGATTTTATAATTTATTAATTCGCTGGATTATTTGATATGATTCCATGGGACGTTTGGTGATTATTAATCATCATTTGAACCTTACTTTTCCTTTAACTCCTAAGAGATGAAAATTCGAGATAAAAACGCTTCAAAATTGAAATTCTGAAATTTCCGAAGTTGAGGTAGTTTATTTTGAATATAATCCCTAATTTATTCAGAATCTTGACTTTACAGATCTATCATCTTGTACAGAACTTGGACAGGATGAATGACGATAGTGCCATATTGTTGTAGTAGCTGTTGTTTTCCTACGTCTTAAATTGAAACTGTGATACTTTCTTTTCCACTTTTTTTTGTACATGTATTATTATCTCAAATCTTGTAGTACTAATTTGACTGTGTTTGACCTTTTTTAAATTTCGCTCAGTTCGTTATTGTTCAGAAAATAACGATTCGTCCTCCATTACTTACACTTTGTTAATGTACGTTCGCTCTGTCCCTCTTTCTTTTAGTCATTTTTGCAACCATTTTTTCGTGTTGTTGTAAAGTTTATTTGTTATCGATAGAATTAGCAAATAAACATGAATCTCTAATTTAATGGAGCTTGAATTTTACAGTAAAAATTTATGGTTTTAAGAATGTACATTTTTATTCAAAGATCGTGGGTAAAGATGGTAGTTGAAAGTGAAGAAAGATAAATATCATTATTTAGATTTTTTGAGATTTTGTTGGTACCAATCTTTACTAGTACTTCTGCTTCATGAATGGTTAGTTTTGTAGAAAAGAAATAGCGAAATAAGTTAAAGAAAGATCATGGAATTTCATTGGTAAAGGATGAAGTTCTCTTTTATTGTAAGTATTGCGCGATTTTAACCACGAATTTGAACTATGGACTACGAACGGAAATCGACCGTGCTCCACTACAAAAGGTGCTTCTGCGTTTGTGACACATAGCAGTCAATATATCATTTGGCAATTAATTCCGACCTGGGTTAGTCATTTCCTTTGCTCCTCATCGTTGATTCACATGCTGAACATGAAAACAGTCGTCATCTATTTCAAATAATATTTCATCTTTGATGTCATCATGGTAATAATCCTTGTGTGGGATACACAAGCAGAGACCAGCTTTGGTTTAAGAATTTGAAAAACTCAAAATTGTCTTTCAGATAGTGCCTGGATAGTTGTATTCCTTTCACGTGAAAATTATATGATATTCACAAAAATATGGGCAAATTGTATGTATCTGTGTATATGCTTGTGTGTATGTGCGTGTATATATATATATATGTGTGTGTGCGTGTGTGTGTGTACGTGTGTGTGTGTGTGTGTGTATGTATTTGAGGAAGATTAAGTTAAAAAGGAAGTCCCAATTTGTTTAGCTGTTAATCTTATTGATGACGCAGCTGGAATTATTTAATATGGTTGTTTTAAGATTTATTGCATAAATATGTGTAAAATTAATTTGAGTGTTCAATTGTATTAAATTACGAAATTCTAACTGAATAGGAAATGAAAGAGATGACATTTTGTAAATATTATAAATTGTTTGTCATTTGTTATTATAATTTTTTACTATAGAAGCTATCGAAGATACGATAGAATTAAAGTTTTTGTTGATGAAAAATTGGGAAAATTAATTTATGGATCATTTTTGCCTTCTTTGCTAGGCCTTTTTTGTTTAGGCATTAGGAAGGATTAGTTTTTGAAATAAATTAATGGGACAATTTCACCAATCTTTTCTTTTATAATCAAATTTAGTTAATTTTTTTCTTTTGATTTCATTTAGTCGTATGCATGCATATTCAAACTTTTAGAAGTATAAAATAGGGAAAATTTTTCATTGAGATTTATTTTATGTAATGTAAACATTAAATCACCGACTTTTTTCCTTCATCGATTCCCTTTTGTCTTCGGTTGCAGCTTTCGCCTTACAAATATTTATTATTATTTGCGCTCTTGTCAATGTTAGCTTTAAGCTTCATATGGAAGAGGAATTATACTCATCGATGATTAAAAAGTCAAAATTTTTCTTCCAAATTATTGCATTTTCTTATATTCATTTTGAATTCCAATAAAATTATTCAAGAAATTACGCTATGAATTTGCATCCATAAAAATGCTAATGTACTTGCCAATTTTAAATTATGAAATTTAATTCCATTTTATTTAATATTAGAACTAACTTCACTCTGTTTTTCAGAATCAATAATGAAAAATGAATAATTAGATGCTGAAGTTCCTTCCCAAAATGATATTTATATTTGTTGTTGAATTTACATATGAAGTGAATTGGATGGATTACGTTAGATCAATGATCATCAAATGCAAAATTCTTCTGTTGTAATATAGAGCCATTACTTCGTCGTAGAATCAAACTAACTTATCGAGCTGTTATTTCTTCTATACGCATTTTGAAAGAGAGAGAGAAGGGAGGGAAAGAGGGAAAAGGAGAGAGAGGGAGGAAGAAAATGCAGCAGTATGGGTTATTTAACTTTTAACTCTGTCAACAAACTGCACTTCAAACGTCTTCCATCTCAAGCATGCTAAAAGCTTTAGAGTTTTAACTTTTTCATACATTTATCAATCACTTTGATAATTATTTAATATTGAATGCAAAATGTTATCATCAATTGAAAAGTAGTGAATTTATACTCTCAAATTTCATCCTTCAATATAAAAAGATATAGCTTTGAGAGAAAGAAAAAGCGAAAAGTTAGAAAACAATCCGAATGAAGAAAAATTAACTGAAAAAAACGAGATTTGAAGATGCATTGACATTACTTGCAAGGTAAGATAAGGTAACGGAAGGTTTTATATATACTTCGGAACATATTTCTCTATGATAACAAAAAAGCATTATGCGATCTCGTGATCTCATAACTTGTGCAGTTTGCCAAGATTTTGTTATGTAATAATAGATGTGATGTTATTGGATATGGCTTAAAATTTCTTCATTAATATTTTCATATGCTTAAAATAGAAGTATATTTCAGTTAATAAATCGAAAAAAAATTTTTTTTTTGGAAATTTGTTGAATTAATTTCTGATTTTCTTGGAAATTTTTAAAAGTGAAAAATTAGATGTATGCATATGGAAAGATAATTTAGACCTAATAGATTGGGAGAATCTGCAGGGGGATTTTATATGATTAGACCATTGTATCAATGCTTTATGTTGATGCATACGGAATTGTGCTAATCATTATCTGTTTATTTTATAGAGCACAATTATCTGTTTGTTTTATAGAGCACAAAGCGGATCTGAAAGTGTTCAACTACTTGGTGGTTATTCCTGTCACTATTATTGTTTATTATCAGATATATGTTACACTTTCATATAACATCAATAACAGCCAACTTTCATAGATAGCAATATCATGTATCTTCTGGATAATTCCACTTTTACCACCGCAATTCCAAACATCGAAAATGATCGTAAGTTTTTCTTTTTTTTTCTTTTTGTTGTTCATTTATCTTTGAGCATTAACTTTACAAAATTAGCTTTGAAATTTTTACATTTTCATTATGGAATTAGATGAGAATTTCCATCGTAAATTTTCCTAAATTGTTATCAATATTTCTCTAAACAGAAAGTGATAATTTTTATTTGTAGAAAGTGATAATTTTTTATTTATTTTTGTTTAAATGCTCGATTATGGAAAGAGTTCTGGGATGAGCGCGGTTTCTGGTAAAAAATTCTTTGATGAAAAAAATGAAGTTTGGTTAGAGAAGAATTTGATTTATTTAGGTGTGTCCAGAATGTATTCTGATCTCTACATATTATTCGCATTCATCGGTTTCATCATCGGCTCATTTGTATTGTTTTTCACAATTAATGTTTCGAAAGCTCGACTTGGTTTTTTTTCATATCATTTCACTTATTGAAACATACAAATGTTGAATACTATCAGTGTATTAGTTTACATAATTAATATAAGTTAATAGTATTAAATTTAAAAAAAAAATGAAATGATAGCAACAATAAATTTGATGAAAAAAGAATTTATAAAGCGAGCAAATCCCTAATTAACCAAAATTTATGTTAGTGGATTATTTCTATCTAAAGCTAATTTCTATGATTTTAGTTAACATTTGAATATATGTGGGAGGAATTTTTTTGATCATTGGGACAATGGAATAATATTTAAAAATATTCCTATCGTTAGCTTTTAGTTTGATCAGTGAAATATAATAGCGTAAAATGGAATTATTCATATAAGCAAGTAATAAAATTTTGTAAAAATTATATTTCATTAAAAAATGCGAAATTTATAAATAATAACAACCGAATTGTATTTGTGCTGAAGTTTCCAGTTTTTTCAAATTTTTTTAATTAAATGTCACATCGCATCATACAGAAAACTACTAATATATGTAAGACATCAAACACTAATAATAAGAATGTAGCATGGAGTGTTAGAAGAATGTGATTATTGGTCGCAACACTTTTAACAGTTAACTGATATATCAGTCAGCATGCGCTATATATCTCCATAGCTTAATGTATGCTTTGTAATGTTAGAAAAAAACTGCATTCCTTATTTTAATTGTCCAAATTCCTTATTTTAATTCTCCGGGAAAAATGCATGTAAATTGATATTAACAAAAAACTGATATTTCCTGGGCTATTTCATATTTTTTCAAGTTTTTGATTTTTTGACAATTTAAAAATTCTTTGTTACCATATTTTTTCACCAACGCTATGCTTACAAAATTATGCTTATATAATTAGATGGTTGAAGTAAGTTAAATGATTAAAATAATCAAAAGTGATTTAATTCCCTTCAGCAATGCTTAGCAATATTACTTTGGTCAGGTTTATAAGCTGCTTTATGTCCATCAATTACATATACTAACGCTTATAGAAATTAAAGTCTGCAAATTTGATTTCAAACATCAATTTTAAATTTGCCATAGAGAAAACTTCCGTTCATCACAATTTGCAGGAACACGAAATAATGCGAAAATATATGTAATCGATTTACCACCAAGATATTCAGAAGTGGAACCACCACCATATGACTGGGCTCTGAAATATTGTTATCTTGAAGATTATTCATCTAAAATACATATGACACTAAATCTATCAACAGCAATGATTATCTGCAGTTGTTTAGTACTTTCATAGCGTCATGTTGTTATTTGTTGTTGTCGCTGTTATTGGAGATATATTGATTAGAAGCAAATTTTGATTTCGATAATTATTTTATTTTCTACATAAGATGGAAATGTTTTACCTAAACAAGTTACAACTAGTTTAAATCCAAATTTTAGTCATTGCAGCGGGACAGAGTAATCAAAGAATCTATACTGTTTTCTCGCTTTTTTTACCTCGAAATCTAACGATATAAATTCACGTTTATCAAATTTATATAAAGTGATATTAGTAATTCCAACAGCTGCGATCAGTATTACGTATGTCAGTTACTTTTTAGGAAGTAGCTTATCCGAAGAATTTAGCTGTACAAAATGTTGACAAATTAGTAATAACGATTTCCAACAAAATTAATTTCAAAATTCGATCAGGACTCGCTATCTTATCCAGTTGTCTTCATGCAATGTATTTGCTCTGTCATTCTATTTTTTGGCATTAATTAGGGTGTTCATATGTAACGGACATTTCAGACTATAAAACGGGTATTTTTATAACTCATCGATGAACAGATTATTAGTTCACATATTTCCTTGTTTTATCATGAATTAACAGTGCATTTTTTTGTTGTGTTATAGTTATTTCACTTTACTATCACAAACTGAAATTCTTCCTAAGTGAAGTTCCCACCAATCAACTATTTATTGAGGAAGAGAAATGAAAACCACATTCATACCACTGATTTATGGATCCTGGTTTTCTAACGCTAGCCTATTCTATGTCCTGGATTGTAACAATATTGGAATTTAGAAAGGATTTCAAGTATTTCGATTACATCATTTTATATCTTTTAGTAGTTGGCATTATCACTACCCCATTGAAAAAAACAATCAAAATTCTAAACTTTCTTCGTTTCTTCGTTATCGTAAAAATGTTGACAGAGAATATGTACATCATAAATTCACATAGACAATTCAAATCAAATTCCAATATGATTACAAATGCAACAACTTGTCACCATCATAACTTTTGACCACGGGAATAAGTAAAGAGAAGTTGTTATCAAGCAATACTTACATTACTTCGCAATTAATTTGAAATATAAATAACAAGTGAACAGAGGAAGAAAAATATGAAGCCAATACATGCAAAGAATTGCAACTTCGAAACTGCAATTACTGATAAAGTGATTGAAAGAAATATTGAAAGGTAGATTAACTTAGAAAAATATATAAGACGATATACAAGATGATATACACGAAACGATAACATTGAGACTTCGAGTTTCATCGGCAGTTAACACACGAAACCAGATTTCATGCTTCAAAGAATTTCAGGAGTAAAGGCCGGCAAAATTTTTACCAGTTTTATTGACGATGGAGATATTAGCTCACATAATATTTGAGGAATTCAGTTTAGAGACTGTCAACAAAGTCAGCAACCCAAGTGATATTGTATGAGTTCCTTTGGTGTGTAATGATAGTCAAAACTCTATATAAATGTACATTATAGAACTTTATGTTTTATGCATAAGTATAATTTGAAACTCAAAAGCACCCAATATGAATTTTAGATGAAAAAAATATTCAGACCAATTTCACGGAGATTAAAAGTTTTCCTGAAAGAGCTCTGATGACAACTATTCTAACTCATATGTACTCTACAAACGCTGTTTGAAACAGTACACAGTTAGTAGAAATTTTGCTTTAAGCATTTTAGTTTGGCACAAGCTAAAAATAATTCCACTTTAAGGTTATTTCTTTTTGTGTTTTCTACGAAAACTTTTCCTCTTCGCCTCGTAACTTTCCAATGTATTGTCATCCAAACGAACAGCACACCCTGCTTTTGACTGCCAGTGGGTAAAATTACTGTAAAAAATGAGATAATGATAAATGATAAATGTATAGAAATTGAAAATATGTGGAGTTTTGATAAAATTTTCTAGAAATTGTGAAATGTCGAGAGAAATAAACCTATAATTGTGTGCTTTGTAAAATGACGGTGTCAAAATAAACGAATTTTTCTTCGGCACGCCTGATCTTTGACGCTCGTTTCGTCGACGGGTGAGTGGAGGAAACATGTAATCAACTGTATCCATTGCTAGTGATATAAATGATGTTTCGAAACCAATGGAATCAGCGCGCCTGACCCGACCCTGTTTATCAATAATAAGTATTCTATCAGGAGGTATATCTACTGCTCGATAACTCACCACATCCTGAAAGATAAGTTTTTCAATAAAAACTACGAAATATCTCTCAGCATTTCACGGCTCAAACATTCAACAAAATTCAAAAAACTAAATTGAGTCAGTAGCTGAAACTAAATCATCTTAGTACAAAGTGTAAATGATAACTATCCATATCTCATACACTTTACGTTATCTCATGCAGTAACGATCTCAGAACAGAAACATACACAAGCTGATAAAGGGAATAAAAGTAAGTTGGGGTAAAGACGATAGGGAATGGCAGAAACAAAGAAGTTTGGAACTATATCTCAAAAAACAGTTAATCAATTGAAGTTGGGGCATTCGAACACTAACCAGTTTAAAATTACCATTTAAAAAATCAAACTACTAAGTTACACTTGATGGATTTTATATTGATTCAGAAATAAAATCTTGTATGCTTGGATCTTGATTTATCCCGAAAAATTGAATGACACTTGGAACCTTACTGTTTCGCGATTTCCAAAACCAGCGTAGAATGGACGTTTTACCGGAAAGCATTCCTTTAAATCTGTCAAAGCAGCGATTTTAAATTCTTCTGGTCTGCGATCTATAACTTCCCTGAAAAAACATACTGTCAAATGACAACACGTCTCTGCTTGCACAAATAGCATAAACGTGTTGTCATTTGTAAATAAGACAGAAAGAGAAATCTATAAGACCATATTGAAGCTTAATAATTTGTTCGCTGAACATTGGAATTTATTCGTAAATAAAGCGTAATACCTTCTGAAAGCCATCAGCACAGACGTAGGCGATAACAACAACGGTCCATCGGGTAAAAACTTTGCGTTCTGAGCAATGCTTTGCAAATATTTCTTTGTAGAATAACTCTGTCCTATTGCTCGAGAAGATAAATAAACCAGCTGATAGCTAAAATGATAAATTTGCTACTTTAAAATGCCCAATGTTCTTCAAAATGCTTATATACTTTTAATTTTTTTTAAGCTCATGATTTTCTGCATTTGTGATCTATCAAAAAAAGAAATTTTACCCATTTTCCTTGATTCTAGTATACAGTTCTGCGACTCCGGCATGAGCCCACTGACCGCCAATAGCTGGTATAACGTGTCCTAACAGATCACTTTTAGTTATGGTTCCGTCTATGTCGGAGATAACTAGACGTTCAGTCCATTTATATAGATAAATATGACAACTGCACCATGTGGTACCCTGAAATGTACAATATAACAAACTGGATTAGGAAGAATGTGACTGTAAATATAGGCACACATATAAATTCAAACTTTGTTTTATTTCTCAAAGTTTATAAACAAATTCCTAAAACAATAGTGAGAGATTTAAAATGTTAAGATTAGAATTTTCAAACCTGGAATTTTGTAGTGATCGAAAATCTTGCTTCGTTTGCCCCTTTGCGTAACCCCAACTTTTTCAATTTGTCACTGGAAAGCCGTAAAGAACGGATGTACTTCGGAAATTGTACAGTAGTCTCTGGACCGGAAGACAGAGGTATTGCACTTTCTGCTTCTTCATCACTCATAGGACTATAAAAGCACACGTGCAATAGCTACTGATTTTTGACAAATATTAGAAAAAGAATGATAATGGAATCAATTTGATGAATGATACGAACAAGATGTCACTGGAAGGAGTCACACTGCGAGCATTTCTTTTCGTTTCATATTCGTGTGATTCGATTACCGATTCATGTGCTTCGGAAGGCCGAAGAGAATACTGATTATCCGATACATTTACATCAATCGTATGCTTCTGCAATTTCTTTCCCTCCAAATGGTAATGAACTAGACAGCATAATAGTTTTTAAGATTAGCACAAATTTTTTATTACTTTAACACAAAATTTCTAGTGTTTCGCATGAATACCACTAAAAAATAAACCTTGCTGTCGGATGCTGGAATTGAAGTTCGTTCTGGCTGCTGTATCTCACTATTCGTTTCGTTTTCATTATCACTGATCTTCGGGGGAGAATTCATTCCCATTACAGAATCATTCCCGCTATCATTGGGTGGTGAAGGACTGAAATAAAAATAAAAAAATTTCGACTAAGACTTGTGCTTTTCACACGTCGTTGTTACGTCCTAAAAATTATGTAAGCAAACGCTGAATGAAAAAAAAATCATGTCCCACTACTACTAAAATCAATCTAGCCCCCAATCATACCTGGTTTTAAACTTGATCATATGACCAAAACTGATAGGCAGCTTAGATTGACAATAAAGGATCATGTTTAACTTTTCAAAGAGTGAAGATGCCAGTTCATTAATATCACTCACCACGTGGTGGGAGGTGACATCCCCAGATATTTTTCGATTTTACTGGGATCACTGGCACTTTGTACAAGATCATCCAAATAAACACCCTGATCTTCCGTTGGTTTAGCACGTGACCAGCGAAACCATCCACCCCATGTTGATCCTTTTTTTTCTTGTTCAGTTTTCACATCTTGCTTTTTTGCTTTTTCCGTTTCTTCAAGTGTTCTTGGCAGCTCGCCCCATTTCCATACCATTACTTGAGTTTTGTGCTGAAATTCGTAGCGAAACCTGCATTCAACAAGTGAAACAATATAACAAGTTTCACAAAATTCATGAGACTTTCTGAAAGGAATGAAGCAATAGGTAAACTAACTGGTTCAGGAGTGTCTCGATGTCGATCAAGTTCAGAATCCGAAAATGCACCATCAGTAATCATACCTAACCCAGGAACTTTCAAACGATCTGTTTCACTATCAATGGAAACTGTTGATGCTGCATCATCTACATCACTTTCCTAAAATCTATGTCGCTATTCAATCGTTCAATAGTATATACAACCGCCCAACAATGTGTCTATGTATGTTCGAAAGGAACTACAGCCAAAAATATAAGTGTTCAATGGTTACCAATGTTAAAATAAAGTACCTCATTTGTTGAGTTTGATAATTTATGCTTCTTGCGAAAGGTGCAAGCTGGAGGTGATAAACTGCGTCTTGTAGCGAATGAATGAGAGTACATCAACTGCCTACAAATCATTTAAAATCTAGATGTAAACAAAAGCAGAGAATAGACTACTCAGTACTTTGTCATTAGCATATTAAAAAATTCATTTGACAGGTTCGAATTTTTGTCATGAAAGTCAATTTCAACGAATTCTGTGTGGGCAAAGCAGCAACGTTTCTTGAAATAAAATTTAAAAAAACACCCAAAAGTATAAACTATCGTTACTGTGCAAAAAAATTTAACTCGTTTGTATTTTTTATATTCTTGAAACTTGGTTAACTTATGAAAATTCTTTTGTAGAGAAGTAAAACCAACAAAATTATCAAACCCAAAACTATGACATCAAATGAGATCATAAACCCATGTATTCTTAGTCTATTTTGCAAATACGTCATTATATCTACATCCTCCCAGGTAAGCTATCGTACTCTAAAACAAAAACAATAACTTCCTTAAATATTAATTTACCTATTATTTTTCATAATTCTTTCAGTATGTTCTTCTTGCTGATTGTCGGTAAGATCAGTAAGATTCGGTAAGGATCGATTCTTACGTTGATTGAATAGCGATGCATTGAATGGAAGTGTTTTTCTACGCTGAATGTCTAATTCACAAGAATTCTCGCTGCAAATAACATGATTTGAAAAAGAAGTTCTCGTGTACAAATTCTTATTATAGCTTGAAGAAGCTTTCTATTCGAACATGAAAAAAATGCATAAAAAATGTGAAAAATAAAACCGTGAATGGGAAGAATGTGAGCAAGAGCTAGAACATTCTGATAGCGCTCTTTTATATCTTGAACGTGACAATTCTCGTCGGATTTTTTCTATCCTTTCAGCAAGATCCTTAAAATAAAATCTCATTTTTCTAGTACTAAATCTAATTTTTAAAGGTATGAAACTATTAATACTATTAATAGAATCGATCTGTTTCGCATAAATACAACATTATCAGAGTTCTTGTGATACTTTTCCATCAACTGGAGTAGAGCTACTTCCTGGGACTGGGCTCGTCACTAGATATTCAGGAACATGAGCATCTGTAGTTGGTTCAGTAAAGAATGCAATACCATTTTCACCCAACTTCATTTTTAAATCTATTTCTTCGCCATTTATTGTTATATCCACATACTGAAACAGATCCATCTGACTGATATTTCAAATTTCTGCTATTGCTTGACTTTTCAAAGCACAACTATAACAGCACATAAAAGGAGAAACGATGACTGAATGTAAATAAAGATTCATAAATATAAATAAAAATTCACAAATATTAAAACGTTAGCTAACTTTTTCGTCGCTGTTTAAAACGCCGTATTTTCCGAATCTTACATGAAATGGTGTTGACAAATATGATCCATCCGGCTGTTCCACAACAATCAAATCAATTGCCCCTCCAAATATTTGAATAATTCAAAATAAGATAAAAATTCAAAGAAATGCAAATCCTCTCAAAAAAAGTTTCCTTGAAAAGCTGACAAAACGCTGTTTTGTAAAGACTAAGTAAAGCCAACAAGTATAAGCTTTCAGAGACTTCATAACTGCAAAGGGACAGCCATCCTCAGTTTACGCTGAGGTTATCATATCTTCATATAGTACAATGATCTGAACATTGAAACATACCAGAAAGTGAAGCTGGATTAAGTGTTTTATAGAAGTATTTTACATTATCCAAAAGGCGATAGGCGTAATTCATCGCCTCTTCCTCTACAAATACCTTATTCTTTCGTCGTTATACAACACCAGCGTCTCATTAATAATAACAGCTTTTGTTAGTCCATATAAACTGTTAGTTTCAGCACTAAAATTCAAGTACTCCATCATTGCTTTTCTTAACAGGCATTAATCTGGAGGGACGTTTCAAATATAAAGTGATCATCAGTGGTAATTTACCAAAAAAATAGATGAAAGATACAAATAATCAATAACTTCACTGTAGCATTAAACAGTGTGAGCAGAATAGAGTTTAACACGAAGATAATGTAAGAGAATGAGACAATGATAATACCTTCAGGTTCTGGGATATTTAAAGACGAAATTCAATTCAAAAGAAACTTTTCCAATAGTGTACTTCCAAATTCCATTTTGTCTCTTAAAATAACCTTATAAATAGAAGAACCGATCGTAGAGACGTAACATCAAGAAAATCCTCCAAGCAATCGACAACCTCCGAAAAACGGAATAAAATCTGTATGAACGGTCTTTTCGTACCGAGAAGAAAAACTTTTCTACGCGGTATCTCAATGAAATATCCATGTCCAGTCAATCTATATTTTTTTAAATGTTTATTTTTATTTCTTTTTAAAGTTTGTTTTCTTTATTTTTTGTTCATTTCTACTGTTTATTACTAAACTCTGTGAAAAGGATGAGATGTGATGAAGGCTGCTTGTAATTTAGTACATTATCGGAAGAAATGAATCATGCAAAAATTTCTCTAATTATGTTAAATGAAACGGCAGCGATGCTAATATCATTAATTGTATTAATGAGAGGAGCCTTGAAGGATTTATGGATGGCAGATAACTGAGAATTGTAATCTCCCATACACTATCAAAACTTTTAAAAAGAGAAAGGTCAAACTGAGTCATTAAACGGTGAGACTGAAAAAAAAATACTTGTCTTTGGCGACAGACAGAAAGGTTAAATGATGAGAATTATATGAGTAAAGAGAGACGGAAGAGCGAGAGAGGACGTGTCACTTATCTCAAGAAATCACTGATAGCTCCTTGTTATTGAAGTAGGCGTCCTCTAAATTGAACTAGTCGGAATCCTTTGTCCTCCATTTCTTACGCATTATGCCACTTTGCCCACTTTAAAAACATGTTTTGAATCAAAATTTGAAACGATCAGTCAGAAATTTCATTAAAAGCGAGCCGCGAAATTCCTAAGCTATTACAATTTACAAATTCAGGATATTTGATGCTGTGTGTGTCCTGCTTGTCTGTCTGTGTAACAGAGTTTTGAAATATTTGGAGTTTATTGTCCACTTTCAAAGTTTCCGATAGAAATAGAAAATAGATTAATGTACATATCAAATTAAAATATTTTGAATTGTAAATTCAATAAGTGAAATATTAATTGATAGAGATATATTAAAAAATTCGATTTTACTAAGAAATTTGAAAAATATGTTTGAAGTGAGGGAATATCGCTACCAGCTACCAGCTGCCAGCTACCAGCTTATATTCTCATACATCATTTTTTGTGAAGTAAATTGTTTAACTTTCTATATTTCCTTCCACTGAAAATTTTCAAATTCATTAAAAAAATTTATCATTTAAATTTGAAATAATGCAATAGAAGGAACAAAGCAATTCATACCTATCACTTTATTCATTCAATTTATTCTTCCCAAACAAAGATGGATTATTGTGATTGAGTTCTTTCTTATTTCGATGTTTCTCATTTTCATTTCCATCTTACAAATTATCAAGCAACAATTTATGGAAAAAAATCGAACTGTCTATCTGTGTCGTATACGCGGACAACATTTTTCAGTAACTGTTAGCATAATGCTTTAGATTGTAAAAATTCATACCTATCATTTGGCATTACGCATTACTTTATCTGTATTTGATTGATGAAGTACCATAGCTACGACAAAAGATTAACACTGCCTTTCAATATTATATTTTAAGATAAACGAAGCATCACCTCTAAATCATTTTTTTCTTAAATATACTTCGAAGTTTCTCACTAAGAAGCTAACCATTTGAATCTTCAGATAGATGTTTTGCTCGACACTCAATTGGTATCATCGCAACCTGTTTTCTCTAAAAAAGCTGTAGCTGTGAGATGGACTTTGATCTTCATATAATTGTATGTTTGATGCTAGTAATGCAGACACGAAATTTTGCATGCAATAATACATATAGGATAACAAATCAAAGTTGATCTCATTCTCTCACATTGTATTGCATGTTGGACTTTCACTTAGTATTAAAGCTTTGGGTAGGATATTTTAGCAAACGATACCAAATCAAATCAAATTTGACTTACTGAATTGATGATAATAACAGATATAAGTCCAAGTTCATCTTATCGTACTACAATTGTATTGCTCATTTCATTTAATGCTGATAGCATTGGATGAAGTATTTTAGCAATCTGATTCATATATTAAATAAATAATTCAAAGGTGAGAATTAAAGTGAGAGATGAGAGTTACTGAATTAATAAATATATCTGTTTCTCTATTCCCATTACAACTTTTAGATATTCATATTTATTATATGCATGAATTGGTGATTGGAAATAATATGATTATTACACTTATAATGATATATTTGCTAACTGGATGCTCCCGAGCAGTTCATACACTATTTCCACCTGTCAGCGAATACAATGAAACAGAAACTAAGATTTTGGTCAGTCTTACAGCTGGAGCTTATTCCACTGATCCCGAGAAATGTGTTATTAAGTAAGTTGTTAAGTGTATGAAAAAAAAGCAGTTCTTTTATCCTTGATAATTTCATTCAAAAAAATTCCCCACAAGTTGTCCATTGCTTTATGTTATAGTGTTTGAGGAAAGTAAATGATGATTATTAGGTTAATAAAGCTATGAAAATTATTTTCTTAAAACATTAAAAACTTATTGAATACTATTGTAGCTTCTAACAGTTGCTAAGATAACTATTTTATTTTATTAAACATCATTTTTTGTTTTGCAAGTAGGAAATAGCTTGGCAATTGATAATTAGTGATTACGATTAATTAGAAATATAAATTTCACAAGAAACAAAAATAATAGGAATTGGAATAGATGTTAATCCTTATTAAACAGTGCATTTCTAATCAATTTTAAATCCTTGATTACATCTGTTTTAAAAATTTTTTAAATTTCAAAGTCTGATCTAAAATTTTACTATAGCATACTGCCGAAATGGCAGGAATGGTTCGTATATAAAACGAGAAGTACGACATGCGACGTCTTTCAGAATTCTTGTTCATCCTATATAATACGATCGGATATCATTAAGAAAATTATAATTGTGTTTCGAGGTACGACGATAAAAAAGCAACTGATTACGGAAGGAATGCAGTCGATGAGAACCATGAGAGATTTCTTCAATGCTGGGATGGTAATTTTCTCTTAGAATTTAATTTTCAAAAAATTTAAGCTTAAATGACTTTTTTTAAATAACATTTCTTCATTCACGAATTAATCTGAGATTACAAATCTGGTCATTTTTTTGAAATTTTTAATTCAAAATATATTGATCTTAAGCTGTTGCTATATATCGTTTTATATTATGGTTTTTAGTGGGACAGCGTAGGCCTGATTTTTATGAAATTTTTTGCAATTTATCTAAGGTTAATCGATATTTCTTCAAAGCTCTTGAAAGAATTTGGCCAAACATAGAGCCACTTCTCATGGATCCGATGTTTAAGTCATATCGAGTTACTTTCACTGGTCATTCTCTCGGTAAGTTAACGTTTTTGCAAAATGAGCAGAAAAAGTAAAGCAAATAATCATTAAACTATACCAACTGAGTTTGAACTATCTGGAGCCTATTGATAAATGGTACAGTAAAACCGCAAATGATAATTCATCAAAATCAACAAATGATAATTTATCAAAATCTATAATGTTTACGATATGATTGTACCATTCTCAATATATATAAGTATATAATGGGAAATAATTCAACAAATTCAAAAATCGAATTTTTTAGTAAAAAAACAAAATAAAATGGTATAATGCAGGAGGAGCAATAGCATCACTGGCAGCAACTCGTACTGTAATCCAAAAATTACGAACCGGCAAAGAAATTAAGCTTGTTACTTTTGGTCAACCACGAACTGGTGACTATCAATTTGCGTTGTATCACAATGCTCATATTCCGTTCAGGTTGGTCACTTTAGAGATGAAAGAATTTTTTTTTGAACTTGAAATATTATAAATAAATGATTGTGGAGTGAGATTTGCTAAAATTATTTATTTTAAATTTTCAGATTTAGAACTTATTTTTAATTTTAATTTTTTCTTCCATTTTTAACTTTCCAAATTAACAAGAAGACCGCTACGATTAAAATAGTTAATGAGAGAAAATTATGAGATGCAGAAGACAGTTCATTGGTTTTCATGTCTTTACATCATACTTTACGGGTAACTATTTCAGAATATGTAAGTAATGTTACTGAGCGAAAGTCAATGTTACCTAAATGAAAGTAATATTTCAGTTTTCGTCTCGTCCATCACTTCGATTTAGTACCACATATGCCACCATGTAAGAAAAATGTAAGCTATCCGAATGCCGAAAATAGTAAAAGTAAACTATGTTTAACCGGAAAGAATGGCTCGCCATATCATCATGGAATTGAAATCTGGTATGACTTCCTTTTGAATTTTTTTTTCGAAAGTTGAATTTTTTTTCAATGTTTTCGAGTTTTACATATGCTTTCAGGTATCCGTATGGAATGATGAAAGGTGCAAAGTATTATATATGCTTAGGTAAACCAACGAGTGAAGATTTCAATTGTAGCAATAGTTTAACATTTGTCTTCAAGAATTACAGTACCTATATCAAGGATCATCAGTACTATTTCAATATTAATGTTAGTCATTTAATTCAAGCGAATGCAAAGCTTACGTTTGGACTTTCAACTCTTTTTGAAAAATAAATTACATTTCTTTATAAGTCATAAACAAATTTATTGTTTTTATTAGTCTAAATTAAGTTAAATACCGTACTTCTTAAAATTCACGAAGCAAAATCATCAGTGGGATAATGTTACTGATAATTTGAATATTTAACAAAACATGAAACTAAAAATGTTATCAAAATTTTTGTTGCCAATTACTTGATGTTTTAATCAAATGTTTTGCATTTGTTTAATCATAATTCAACAAAAAAAAATTCATGCAGCTGAGCAGTTTTGGTAAGCGTGGATGCATCAACAAATAAAATCGTTACCAGAAGCAACAACATTTGCGCCTTACATCGAGAACTTTCTCCAAAATTCCAATGGATTAAACAAAGCATGAATGATTTCTTAAACCTCTTGAAAATGAAACAATGAAATTCTTTAAAGCTTGAAATATGATTGAAGTGGATTTCATTTGTGCTTTATTACAGCTTTACTTTACACTTAACTTTGCTTCAATTTTAATGAGATTATTTGAATTTCTAGGCATTCCAGATGCTATTAAATTTTTATGCTCAATTTTTAATTCTTTAATAAAATTAATGAGATTTATTTATTGTATAGGAAGTTCATTATAATATCAGTTGTTCTCGATTTTATCATCTCTAAAATGAGAAGTTGTCATTTTTTTCGTTTCTTTATAACAACAAAAAAAAGATGGAATTTGATAAAGCGTGAATTTTGAACAAAACTTTGAATAGTTAATAAAGAGATGACATGTGTATTTTAAGGCGCAAAATTACGATGCATTCAAATTGGTGTGATTCAGAAGGCATGCAATTTAAATCTTCGTTAGGAAAAAAAGTAGGATGCGTTGATTTATTTTAATAACTCTTAATTTCTAAAAAAATTTTCCGAAAATCTTTACCGGAATATTTTGGAATTCTTAGCTTCTATTTTCTTCGGTATTTACGCTACATTGTGACTCTTTTCAGCAATAAAATATTACTCGTTTATCGGCATATTAAAATAGGTTGAGTTGTATAAGTTAAATAAAATGTTTCGACAAAAAATAAAATATTTTTTACTTAGTTTAAAATTTGAATTTTATATTTTTAAAAGTTTTAACAAATTCTTGTTCATTACACTTCAAATATTCAAAAGTTTCAATAAATTTCTGTTTATTAAATTGACGTGTCATTTTTTACTTCTCAATTTTCAAGAATTCAAAGTAAAACTGACAGCTCATCCCAAATGCAAGTTTTTTTTCTGTTTTATGCTTTTCGGAAAATCTATTAAGAATTACAAAATTATTGCATAGAATGTTATTTTCCATTTTACAAACTTGTAACATTTTATCCCGAAATTTTTATTTTTAACGCAAAATAAGAGGGTATAAGGTGTAAATTAGAAAGTCGTTATTGAGGAACATAGGCTTTCTGATGATCTTTAAATTTGCCGATTTCTTAATTTTTTGTCAAAAACGATCCACTAATTAGGATCACGTAGTATACTATTTCCCTCCTAAGGTCAATTAACATATACTTAAATAGATTGCATCATCAATCCAAAATAGATTTCTGATCCCAGTCGCTAAACTATTTTACAGATAATCTAAGATATGTGATCCGAACCTACTGGCAACATTTATATACATGAAAGTTTTAAATGCTTTCAACTATTTGAGGAAGTAGTCGTTAACATTCTTCCATCTACGATTCTATTACTCGAGGACGAAGAAAAAAATTGTAGAACAAGGTTTTTCTTCGATTTTAGAAATATAGTAAATGGTAATTGATTTGATTTATTTTGATTCATTGAAAGAAAAGTCCTTTTGGCGATTTACAAGATGATTAAATTATCTGATATAATTCATAAAATATGTAAAAATGAAAATATAAATAAAATATGGAGTCAATTGATGTGATCGTTTTGATTTTAAATATTTCTTCAATAATATTAGATATTTTTATATTTCCAAGCGAGTAATTCTTAAAAAAAAACAATTAGCAGCGAATAATTGTCAGAATGTCATGGATAATTATCAGCACGTAATCACAGAAATTTAAAATTAAAATAAACCCAATAATAATTTAAAAAATAAAAAGAAAATCAATATTCTGATAAGATGATGATTGATAAGATGACTAATTGATAGAAATAGAAAAATTAATTTAGAATTAGGCGAGTGGCCAACCAGTGATTCTCGGAGATAATCTTAACTGAGACGGTTCCTTTCATAAGAGTAATTTATTTACATTTGCATTAGAAATGAATTTTTATAAAATTTACCTTAGTACGAAGAGGAAGTTGGAATGATGAGGAAGTGAGAAAGGTAAATAGAGAGAAAAGAGGTAGATGGCGCAGCTGGTTCTCTTGCTCATATTTTTATCACACTATTTTTAGTGATAAAAAAGAGACTTCATATCCTTCAATTTTTCAATTGATCCAAAAAGACTAGTGGTAGGGAGGTATGAGGAGACGAAGAGAAGTTAGCATGGATGGAAGGATGGGTGATGGAAGTTGTGCTGATTCTTCTATGATATTAAGCTATCAAGTTATTTCATAGCTGTTTATTGCTTGAGTTCAAGCGATCTATGTTGCACAACGAACTTCTTGGCCATTCATTTCAATCTGGTTGTTTTCTATTTTTTCAGTTTTCTGCTGCAAGAAAATATAGGATTAGAACATTTGAAATTAGTCGAAAATATTATTGTCGTCATTTTTGCGCTAAATAAACTGTACAGCTAATATTAAATAATAACATCTGTTGAAAATTTTTTTGGAATAGCTATATTAAATATCATTGTTGTTCACTTAATTTTTATTACACTATATTTAGTGATAAAAAAAGAGAAATGTATTTCATATCCTTCAACTTTTCAATTGATATCACTATTGTCTATAATTTACAATTTCTTTTCTGTTTCGATTTATAATCGATAGTTTTCCTCATTTTTCAACTACCACACATCATATTTCTTCTGTTCCAAATTACAATAATCGAGAATCTGTGCCAGGGAATTCTAACAACTTCATTTAGCAATAACACATGATGATGATGATGATGATAATGATGATGATGATGGTCATTGATTTCAAATTAGTACAAATGAGGTATCAGGATAATTATCAATTCAATCTTACACCTTTTACTGATCCAATAATTTTCAGCTGTGGCGTGACAGAAATCTGAAGATGCTTGCAGAATGGTTT